GTCTTTCATTTGTCTTGTGGTTCTCATTGTGCAAACAAGTGGGGTGTCGTCCCTTGCATGTGTCACATGTGTGGCGATGACGACAGTCTTTGTCATTGTGACCCACCTTTAAGCACCCGTAGCACAGTTTATTGTCCTTCACAAATATCCGTTTGTCGTCGAGTGACTTTTCTGAGAAGCTTGAACACTTAGGGAGCTGATGCTTTTCATCTTTACAAAACATGCATGGTGCCTTTAACTTCGTGTCATTTGGCTTTGCTTTATCCATATGAATGGAAGCTTGTGTTGTAAAGACTTGTGTTGTAGATCTGTTTGGTTTAATTTCCTTAGTGTATCTTTTTTCCAAAGATGAGCTGCATGAATGGAGTGCGTAAGAAGAGGTCACTGGATTGCACGCAATTTCCGCCTCGAGTGCTACAAATTTAGCAAAATCCTTGAAAGAGGGAAAATCTTTACCTTCCATAAGAGCAACTGTGACCTGACGATTCCAACGTGCTGCAAGCCACTCTGGGACCTTCTGCAATAGCTTTTGGTTTTCCTCACAGTCACTTAGTATCTCTAAGCCCTTTACATGTGGTGTTGCTTGGAGACAAGCTGTGAGGAAATCTGAAAATGACCGTAAACCTTCTGCGTCCTTTGGGTGGATTTTAGGCCACTTAGATAATTTGTCTCTGAACGCCCTTTGAACAACAAAATGCTGACCATAGCGTTGGTCAAGCTTGTTCCACGCATCTCTGTATGCCTCTTCATCATTGCGATAAAATGTGCCCTCAAGACATTTAAGTGCTGGACCAGTAATGTACCTTTTTAACAAGTGCAGTTTATCAGCTGTACATATGCCTTTGCAGTCCACCAGTGAGATGAAAGAAGCCTTCCATTCAATGTATGTGATGGGATCTCCACTGAACACATTGGGCACTGGCACTGGAATTCTGTTGACTGCGATGCTGTCCTGGATAGCTTTGGCCAGTTGGGAAATGTCTGTAGGAGATGGAGGGAACACATGAGAGTATGGTTGTTGTACAGGATTGCTGACAGGAATAGATGCATACTGTTGCATGAGTGAGTGATACGAGTCTGTAGCGAGCACTGGGGCTGGTTGTGTGAAGCTTTGGTTGACAGAAGGAGTCCCATTGTTATGTACTATTGACCGACCATCCATGTCAACTCTAAATTCCTTGTCATAAATGTCTAACTTTGCGCGTGCAGCTTGCCTTTCCTTTTCTGCTTGTAAACGCTCTAATTCAGACCTTTGTGCATCTATTTCCCTCCTGTGTTTCTCTTCAGTTTCTCTTATTCTTTCCCTATGTTTTATTTCCTCTTGTATAATGTCATACTGCACTTCCTTTGCAGCTAGTTCAGCGGCTGCATCAATTCTTTTGGCAGAAATACTTGTTTCAGAGTGATAACTTGACTGTGATGCTGTGCCAAATATGGACTTTGCATGTTCATAGGTTAAGAGCTGATGGAGGCGCTTCCTTTCTCTATCTTCATCATACTCATCTATGGCTGCTAAGCGTTCTGAAATGATTTTCATAATGTCCTTTGTTACTGACTCACAAGAGTCCATTTTTCGTCTTATGACATGGGACGGTACAATTTGCTCTCTTAGTTCACTGTATGCCTTTGTCATAGCATTTATTGTATTTTCAATATTATCAGCCATTTCTGCCAACTTTGAATCTGATATATCACTCTTCAAATCGTTTCTGTAAATTCTGACTTGGTCCTTCCAACGTTCATAAATGGTTAATAGTTTTTTCTCTGTTTTCATCTGTTCATCATTTTTATATTGAAGCATTTTCTCTGTAGGCACACTATGCCGTTCTGATCGCCTTGGTAATGTTTCAATATCCGTTTCATACATTTCACATTGCAATTTTTTGAGTTGGTCCGTTTCTTTTATCTGTTCTTGTATATTTGCCATTTTGAGAGCAACCGTTTGTCACGTATCCTTACGACCGTTACTGTAGCTGCTCCGCGCTGTTGCCTTCTCACGGGGCGTGTATGATGAACTGCGCTGTTCACTCGGCTTGGAGCAGGTTCTTCATTCAGAGTGACGACAAACTTTTGCTCTTCTTGGAGGCAAGCTCTTACTGTAGCAAACCCCCCCCCCCCCCCCGCATGTAGGAAGACACTTCACTGATGATTATCGAGTTTAATAGCTGTAAACTCTCAAATTCACCGTAAGAGCTGAGAACACAACAATAAGATAATCAACTCTTACATCCTTACAATAATAATACAACGTACATTTAACAAAAATACATTCGTAGTAAACGTACCTTGTTCCTCAAAAAGAAAAGGGGTTAGCTAAAAATAACGTTTTCATTTGCGCTCCGTAGGACTTTGTCGGAGCGCCTTTCTGTTGCCGTGGTAACCATGCATTGCCGTTGATGGCTTGCGCCTCGCGCTAACATGTTGCAAAAAAGGAAACTATCTTGAAAAAATAACATCCCTAAAACTAAAACCGTATTTTAACTATAGCTACGATAAAACATTTTCAAAAACAGTTATTATTATGTTATTTACAAAACCTAACCCTAAAAATGGGCCTTCACAAGTTTTCATACAGCTTTTTTGGGTGCATTAACCTTGCCCTATGACCTTCTGTGTGTGATCTACTCTCAGTATAAACCCAGCTGCTCTGTGAGGGCCTCAGAGCTGTGCTCGGAGTGTGTAGGTCACTAAACATCATGAAGGCCAAGGAGCACTCCAGAGAGCTCAGGGATGGAGTGGAAAAGGTTAAAGCAGCGTTAAGATGTACCACGCTGATCTCATCGTTTATTGTTGACGATAAAGGATTTCAGCACAGGATCCAAGGTTCAGGACATTAAAGGTGATTAACGACACAGAGAGTTCAAATGTTGCATTTATTATATTTTACACATTCAACAAACCCCAGAACAAAAAAACTAAACATGCGATGAATGAGACTGGTCTGAGACCGGAAAGAGACCAAGGCAAGTCATTTATTTTTACAGCACTTTATTTTCTATATCACAGTTCATACACAATGGAAAGTGCTGAACAAACCAAGATAGAAACCTTAAAATCACACAAGGCATTCAAATAATACATTATCACAGTACATTAAAAAGAATGAAGACACAATCCTTCAGTTGTTTTAACCTGGGTTTGAACAGGGTCAGAGTAGAAGCCTGTCTCACATTTTCAGGAAGACTGTTTCAGGAAAATCTGAAACGCTGCAGGCACCAGCAGGAGGCCAGGCCCTGTGCTCCTCAGAGTCCCACCCGGAGAGAGAGAGACTGTCGAGAAATGAAGACAAGGCTGCGGCGATTGCACCTGTGCCACGGTTTATATTAGAGTCCCTCCAGATTGAACAAAAAAAACCTGCTATATTATATATACGCGTTTTTCCATAGTGTCCGGACCCACTGCAGCACTCATCTTTTTAGAAATAAATGAATAAATATTAATATCTCAGTGGTGACTCTCATCAACCGGGTCTAGCGTCAGCGACATCTTGTGAATGCAATGGAGCGATCTCTGTGTGAGAGAAAGGATGTGTATGAGTCTGCGATATCACAGAGAAACTTCAAAAGTTGCACCACATATGGCGAGTGCGGTGGGACTTCTGTGGCACCTGCTGCGCGCTTCCCAAAGAGCCGCTGCCTGTGAGCCCGTTCCCACAGCGCTTTGCCATATCTCTGCCATCGCTGCGTTTATGGGGCTTTATGCACAAAGTTAATGCAGGAATACGTTGCTTTGCCAGAGGTGAATGAGACAAAGCTAACGCAGCGCAGGGTCTGCCACAGATTGACGGAGAAAAATATGGTGACACATTAAGTAAGTAAGCCAGGTGTATTTGTATAGCGCCTTCACAGAGCAGAATCACAAACCGCTTCACATAAAAAAAGAAAAGAAAAAAGAAACATACAGATGAAAATAATACACACACAAGTCAGATTTAAAAACGAAGAAAGAGAAGAGGGTCCTCATCATGAACGTACCATGATCTGTGATCTATTCGAAATGTGCGTGTTTCCAGAGTGTTCGAGTTTTTCTGATGCGCAAATTTAAATTTAGAAACATGATGCTCAATGAAAACGCAGCTTATAATGTTGCCAGAGTGGAACATGTTTATTGTTGTCCAAACCTTGCATTTCATGTGTGTTTTGGCGTGTTGTGACGAATGGTGAAATGAGCGTAAACATTTACACCACCTCCTTTGTACGCTCACGTCCAGATTGATAAATGCCGAAAAGTGTAAATTTCTTGCGTCATCTAATTTACACCTGGATTTGGCCGTACGCAAGTTTCATAAATGAGGCCCAATGTGGGCAAAAGACGTATAGTTCTTCATATTAATAATGTTTAGCAGTAACACATATATAAAAGGGGTCCACAGTAAAAAATATGCAGGTCAGCTTCTACAAGACCAGAGACCGAGATCAAACCGAGATCAGACCCAGATCAGAGAGACCAGGCCCCAAAGATCTGCAGAGCTCAGGTCAAAGCTCATACAATTAATTATTGACAGAAATGAAAGTAAAACGTTCAAGTTACAGTTTTTATCTCCTTTTATGAGGAATGTAAAGATATGACAGTAGCCGCAGAGATATGCAACATTATGAACACACTTTCAGTTTCCTTATGTGTAAAACAATGGTCTTAGATTAAAGAAAAGTAAGTAATTTGTTAAATTTCAAGGTTCTTTATGTTGGATTTTTTGTTTTTTTGTCAGCTTTTGTTTGATTAATAGATTTACTAAGTCAGTAATGACCAAAAAGAAAAGTAGTAAAAACACAGTAGTAAAATGAGTCCTGGTGCAGACGACCCTGGTCTCTCTCTCTGGTCTCTCTCTCTGGTCTCTCTCTCTGGTCTCTCTCTGGTCTCTCTCTCTGGTCTCTCTCTCTGGTCTCTCTCTCTGGTCTCTCTCTCTGGTCTCTCTCTCTGGTCTCTCTCTCTGGTCTCTCTCTCTGGTCTCTCTCTCTGGTTCCAGTCCTGGTGCAGACGACATTGAAATCACAGAAGGATCATCTGAGCTGTGAAGGAAACACAAAGAACAGATCACACCAGATTTGAGGAAAGGATTCTGTGCCTTTAACAATAGATGTGTTCTCCAAAGAGTCTAGAATCTTCAGGATCTAAACTCTTCAGTGAGTAAGGTAAACACGCAAAGTGTTCCAAAAATTCTCTCAATCCAATGGTTTCTCAAATCCTGAGACCAGAGGGAGACCAGAGGGAGACCAGAGAGAAAGACAAAAGAGAGACAAGACACATATTAGGAAAAATAGACTTTTTAAGTTGGTCTCAATGTTCCAAAATCTTTCGTTATCAGATAAGATAAGATCTCACATAGGAGATATGTACATGTCACATCTGGCATGGATAGAAATGTGCAAACATGTTAAATTCAGGATATATTATGTATAATAGAAAGTGGCAATTAAAAAGTGGCAATCAAAGAAACTGTGGCAATAGTAGTCTTATTTCAAATTCAATATGAAGAACACTGAACTTTAACAGTCACAGAGCTGGAGTTGGTTTTAGATCCATCCATGCCCATATCAGGAACTTCTGGCAGAAACATGTAACTCCACCCCCTTCTGTCTAAAAGCTCCAATCTCAGTCCTGTAATGGTATTTCTTTGGTCTCAGTCTTTAACACAGCCTCAGAGAACCGAGTATCAGAGCTGGGGGGAGGCAGCATCATGCTGTGGGGCTGCTTCCAAAGTACAGATACAGTGCCTCTCAAAAGTACTAATACACCTTGAACTTTTGCACATTTCTGTCATTTGTCAGATTTACAACCATAAACAAAGATTGTATTTGGGTTTTTTATGAAAGTTCACACACAAGTAACAGACAACCACTGTGAAGTGAAAGTAAAATAATAAATGATTCTGGTATTATTCTAACCCTAACCCTAAAAATGGGTGGCTTTTATGGGTGCATTAACCTTGCCCTATGACCTTCGTGTGATCTACTCTCAGTATAAACCCAGCTGCTCTGTGAGAGCCTCAGAGATGTTGTTTAGTGACCTACACACCTGAGTGTGTAGGTCACTAAACAACATCATGAAGGCCAAGGAGCACTCCAGAGAGGTCAGGGATGGAGTGGAAAAGGTTAAAGCAGCGTTAAGATGTACCAAGATTTGAACATCTCACAGAGCACTGTTCAATCCATCATTCAGAAATGGAAAGAGTATGGCACCACTGCAAACTTACCAAGACATGGCCGTTCACCTAAACTAACAGATCGAACGAGGAGAGCACTGATCAGAAAGGCAACCAAGTGGCCCAAGATGACTCTGGAAGAGCTGCAAAGTTCAAACTGTTTTAAGACTTTTGCAAGAGCTGTCTTATCTTAGCTCAGTTCTCACTCTGGTCTCACTTGCTGGTCTCTCTCTCTCTTGTCTTTTTCAGTACAGAAAGGACAGAGTTACATGTTTGTGCTAGAGGTTACTAATATTAGCATGGATGAATCTAAAAGCAACCCCATGTTTGCTTTATGTAGATTTGTATTTTCCACCTGCTTTAAGAGACCCTTTTATCTTCACACTTACAATGATGTGTGCGATGTCGCCGTCCATAAACGCCGCTCCGGAAACACTCTACAAATACCATTGTTTTGGGGAAAAATTTGAATGATCAGTTTCAGATTCAGTGCATTTTTTTTTTCAACTGCAAACACGACACCAGCACCAGAGGAAAACCACAAAGAAGACAGAAAGACCAGAGATCCTAGAGAGAGACCTAGAGAGAGACCAGAGAGATACCAGAAAGGACTCAGTTTGAAAAATGTAAAAACCTCCCGCCTCAGCAGTGTCTGTGGGTAGAATCAATAGTTGATTTAAAGCTCAGGTACGTAGCTTATGTGTCATAAATAACATGTAGTTTGTCCAACATCAATAGTTTTAATGTAAAATGTTGTGATCAACATATTTATCTCTTAGTGATAAAATGTTTATGAGTCTGGAGCTAGTTCATTGCTGTGTTTGTATGTGGTTTGAAAGTTAGGTACCCCAGCTTTAATCCTAATCACTAAACAAAACACAAGAACAGGTTTGATCCACTGCTCGATGAAATGTTTTAATTTTCAGTAGAAAAAAGTTTGGGCACCCCTGAACCCAGCAGAAGCCAATCCCAAAAGAAACAGAAAAAAAATCATCTGTGAAGAGTCCTAGTCCACTTCTGAGTCTGGCTCCGGTCCAGCCCCTGGTCCAGCCCCCGATCCCTGGTCTTCTTCCGTGTTTACCCGTGTGTAGTGGACCTGAGGCCCCTGGGAGCCAGAGAACAGGGCCTCCATCTCCTCCAGCTTCAGCCCCCTGGTCTCCGGCAGACAGAGGGCGACGAAGAGCAGGGCCACAGCCACCAGCCCCGCGTACAGGAAGAAGACTCCTGAGACCAGTCAGAGACAGGAGTCAGGGAACCAGGGGGAACACCAGCACTTTGTTTGAGCCTGTGATGATACTGTTCTACACTTAGTACATTCTTGGTACTGAGCATAGTAGGCTCTCATCCAGGTTTCTGGTCCTTACCGTGGTAGCTCCTGGTTCCTGGTCCATACTGTGGTAGGTCCTGGTTCCTGGTTTTTACTGCAATAGGTCCTGGTTCCGGGTCCATACTGTGGTAGGTCCTGGTTCCGGGTCCTTACTATAATACCTGTAGGTCCTAGTTCCTGGTCCTTACTGTAGTAGGTCCTGGTTTCTGGTCCTGACAGTAGTAGGTCCTGGTTTCTGGTCCTTACCGTAGTAGGTCCTGGTTCCTGGTCCTTACCGTAGTCGGTCCTGATTCCTGGTCCTTACTGCAGTAGGTGAGGGTCTGGGCCACCTGGTTCCGATTTATGGTCCTTACCATAGTAGGTGAGGCTCTGGGCAACATGGAGGAAGGTGAGGGACACCAGGACGTTGAAGGACCAGTTGACACCAGCGGAGCAGGCGTTCCCAGTGCTGCGTGCCCACAGAGGGTAGATCTCAGAGTTCACCGTCCAGGGCATCGGGCCCATGCCTTCAACACAGCACCAGCAACTATCAGACCAGGACCATCAACACCAGGAGCTACAGACCCATATGGTCTGTCTGTCTCTGTCTCTCTCTCATATCTCTCTCTCTCATCTCTGACCTGGAGCGAAGGCGGCGAGATACAACACGAGACCCACGACAATGATCCAGGAGAACGACGAGGGACAGAAGTTATAGGCCCAGACCAGAGATGAGTCCAGGGTCTGGTTTACACAGCTGAAAACAAAGGGCAAGGACAAGAGTTAGATCACAGACCAGAGACCAGACCAGAGCGTATACCAGAGACCAAACTAAACTTAGAGACCAGACCAAAGAGGAGTCCACTGTCTGGTTCAGAGAGCTGAGGCAGATACAGTCTGCTTACTGTTTAATTTTGATGAGCTTTTTATTTCTCTGTTTTTTTGTCCTTTAATCTCAGTCCTGGGTCTACAAATTTAATCCTGGGTCTACGGCCTCAGTCCTGTGTCTACAGATTTAATCCTGGGTCTACAGATTCAGCCCTGGGTCTACAGCCTCAGTCCTGGGTCTACAGATTTAATCCTGGGTCTACAGCCTCAGTCCTGGGTCTACAGATTCAGCCCTGGGTCTACAGATTCAGCCCTGGGTCTACAGCCTCAGTCCTGGGTCTACAGATTTAATCCTGGGTCTACAGCCTCAGTCCTGGGTCTACAGATTTAATCCTGGGTCTACAGCCTCAGTCCTGGGTCTACAGATTTAATCCTGGGTCTACAGCCTCAGTCCTGGGTCTACAGCCTCGGTTCAGGTCTACAGCCTCAGTCCTGGGTCTACAGACTCGGTTCAGGTCTACAGCCTCAGTCCTGGGTCTACAGACTCGGTTCAGGTCTACAGCCTCAGTCTTTACCGCCCGTGAGCTGCGTGGTTGGTAGATGCCGGATTCACATCGACACACGACGAGTCCATCACTGAGCTGCTGTTGAGTTTGTAACAGAATCCACAGTCTGGGTCCAACATACAGCCTTCACAAGCACTGTAGAGGAGAGAGGAGGTGAGAGGAGGTGAGAGGAGGTGAGAGGAGGTGAGAGGAGGTGAGACTACAACTGAGGGAACAGTGAAAGCTAGGTGTGTTGTCTTCTTAAGATAGATACATCTTAAAATATACTTATAAGAAAGATAAATAAAATAACTGAATACGGTGCTGTATGAAGGCAGTCAGAGTCGTACTGTGTTTGAAAACAGAGCATTAAGACAGAAGGGGCGGGCGAAGTATGACCTGTAACTGCTGCAGCTGGAGTTGTGTCCGGGCAGAGTGACTGGAGGAGAGGTCAGTGCTGAGAGCAGGAAACCCAGGGCCAGGACCAGGAGGCTCCCACAGGTACCTGCAGGAGACAGGACCGCAGTAAGGCTGAAAACAAGTTCAGGATAACGAGGGACACTAAAATCCCCACAAAATCCACTTTTATGAAAGCTGTAGGTTCTCTGTCAGCTGAGGTCGAGCTGTTTTAGTTTACATTATTACATGGGGAACATTTCTAGGTATACGTGAATTTAGTCTGCAGTACAGTGGATCTTTCAGCTATAAGCTTGTAATACCCTAAGCAGATATTATAATAGAGCCGTGGTTATCTCTCAGATGTGCGCTCACCCATGAGGCTGGCGAGGGTCAGCTTCCTCCGCCCCACGCTCTCCACAAGCCACACCCCCAACAGTGTAAACAGGAAGTTGGTGGCAGCGGTAGCGGCTGAGAGCCAGATCGCTGTTTGGACGTCACGCACTCCTGACATCTGCAGGATGGTGGCGCTGTAGTACCTGCAGACACACAGAGAAAGATCAGAGGAGAGAGACACGCTGTGAGAGAGACCAGAACAAGGCCAGAGAGAGAGACCAGAGAGAGAGGCTGAAAGAGACTAAACAAAATAGACCAGGGAGAGACCAGAGAGAGACAGGAGGGAGACCAGAGAGAGCAGAGACCAGAGAGACCAGAAAAAGACCAGAGAAAGAGACGAGAGGGAGACCAAGAAGACCAGAGAAACCAGACGAGAGCCCTTTATAATCTATGCGTTCTCTCTCTGCTCGAGATGACTCACATGACGGTGTTGATGCCGCTGAGCTGTTGGAACATCTGCAGGCCACATCCCACCATCAGAGCGCGCCGAGTCGGACCGTGAGCCAGGATCCGGAGCAGGACCATTCCCCCTTTAGGAGAGAGGAGAGAATGCAGATGAAAGAGAGAGAAGAGAGAGCGGGTAGAGGGGAGAGAGGAGAGATACTCTCCACAGATCTGACCGGTCTCCTTGTTCTCCTCCTCCACACTGAGCCTGATGGACTCGTACTCCTCTTCTGCGCCTCTTCCTCGGATGCGCGTCAGCACTGTGTACGCCTCCAGGCTCCGCCCTTTCGCCAGCAGCCATCTTGGACTCTCCGGTAAGAAGAGGAAGCCCACAAACTGGAGCAGAGACGGGACCACGGACAGACCCAGCATGAACCTGGAGACCAGACCAAACCAGACCAGATCAGAGACCAGGGACCAGACCAGGGACCCAACCAAGGACATGTGCAGGGGGCGGACCAGAGACCTGAGCAGAAACCATGGACTATAGGCCTGACCAGATACCAGTCCAGAGAAAAGATCAGAGACCAGATCAGCATGAACCTGTTGACCATGCCAATCCAGACCACATCAGAGACCACGGGCCAGAGACCGCACCAGAGACCAGAGCAGACCTTAGCAGAACCTGGAGACCACACTTGGACCCAGTATGAACCTACGGAGATCAGGGACCAGACCAGTGACCAGAGGCCAGAGCCGTGCCAGTGGAACCAGATGAAACCTCACCTCCAGCCGTGGCTCACGTAGCTGAACGCCCCGTCCACGACCGCCGCCACAAACTGCCCTCCGGTGATGAAGAGCGCATTAACGGTGACCAGCTGCCCCCGCAGGTGAGGCGGAGCAACTTCAGCCAAGTACACAGGGACTGTCATAGAGGCCAGACCTGAGAGACCACAGAAAAGACCAGACCTGAGAGACCAGAACACAGAGAGACCAGACCTGAGAGACCACAGAGACCTGAAATACCACAGAGAATTTAGGGACCACAGAGAATGTTCCTGTATAGGCAAATGAATCAATCTTTTTCTCATCTCCCCTGCTCCCCTCTCTTCTCCTCTCCTCACCTCTCTCTCCTCTGCTCTCCTTCCTTTCTCTCCCCTCCTTTCATCTCCTCACTCTTCTCTCTCCTCTCCTCTCTCTATCGGTCTCTTGGTTTCTGAACTCCGGTCTCCACTGTGCAATAAATAAAGTATAATCTTACCAATGCCCAGTCCCACGACAATCCTCCCCACCAGCAGCACCTCCTTATTGGGGGCCAGACTGAGCAGGAGGCCCCCCAGGCTGAAGATAAAGCTGGCCAGTAGAATGCACCTGCGTCTGCCCATGCTGCCGTTCAGGGGCCCCCCCAGCAGTGCGCTCAGGGCAGCTGCGGCCACGGTGGAGGACACCAGGAGCTCCTGCCACAGCGCACTCAGGCTCAGCTCCTGTTTTAGCAGCAGCATGGCCCCACTCACTACGCCTGTGTCATACCCGAAGAGGAACCCGCCCAGGGCTGCAAAGAAGGAGAGGAGGGGTAGGGAGAGGGGAGAGGAGGAGGATGGGGGAGACGCTGGAGTCATCTGAAGGCGGTGCGCATCCCTGCAAAAAAGACAAGTTACCATAACACTGTGAAGATAAGAAATTACTCACTCCTCTCTCCCCCCCCCCTCCTCTGTCCTCTATTTTTTACAGTCTATGGTTGATGCACAGAGAGAGATCAGAAAGCGAGACATCAGGGGCACACTGACAGAAGCAGGAAACCAGTACGTGCCATCGGCCCCTCCGACCCCACAGACACAGACACAGACACAGACACACACACACACACACAGTTTGGAACTTTATTTGTGATGTGCCTTTGTTGTCTTTAGTAAACTTACTTAGATATAAGGCATAAATAAAGACATTACACTTTACCTGTGCAGCAGCAGCTCGTCAGAAACAGGAAGTTTAGATCACGTGAATAGGACACGCCCACAACAAAGTCAGCTCCCAACTCCCTTACAGTTTCACAATAGCTCAAATACTTTTAGACTTTTATTACATCACATATTGTGGTTTAAAATGTATACATTCACAGCATTTTCTCTGTATAAAAATAAAAACAGATTTATGAATTGCTCCTGGCGCACTGCTGTGACGTCACACGGCCTATGAAGACAAGATGGCTGCGTCGCTGGAGAGGAGTTTCCTGGAGATCTGCGGCTTCGAGAGAGAATCTCAGCGCCGCTGTAGAGAAGTGACAGTGAACCTGGGTATGAGCACGAGCATCCGGGCTGTGGCTATCCGTCTGCACCTTCGCAGAGGGCCCTGGAGCGGGAGGGAGGCATACACAGCCCGCTTGGGCTTTTGGCGGCGAACCAGAGCTAACATGCTTTAGCAGCATGCTAATGGTTCACTCTCATGTCACTCACATAAACACTGGTCTGAGCTGAGAGGAATGGGACGGAATTACATGTTGAAACTGAGAGAAATGGGACATAATTCACCGTGTCGGCAGTAAGTGCACAGGTGTAAACACAGGCTGAGCTAAGAGGAAGAATGTGGCTGTTTACATGTATGAATTATGGAGGAATGGGTCAGAATTCAGTGTTTACTTGTGCTGTGAGCCATTGGCAAGTAATCATTGTGTGACACAAACATTCCAAAGCGAATATAACATGTTTTAGGGTTAGGGTTAGCATTGGAGACCTGATGGATATTAGGAAAGTAATTATGGAGTACCAGAAAAACAGCAAGTAAATAAGATAAGAATTCCTTTATTCGTCCCACAGTGGGGACATTTCGATGTGGCAGTGCACATATAGGACAGTAGTAAGAGCACACAGTGAGCACACACAATATATACTTAAGTAGTGGCTATGTTTTTTAGCTAACATAACTAGCTGTAGATGCTGAAAATGCTTCAATTGCAGTATTGAAGTAATAGTGCAGTTATATACTGTACAGTTAAATAGTGCAGGATAATAAGTAGATACGGTAAAGTAACATTGTTCAGTGACATTCTGAAGTTGCAGTATTGCACATGATTTAAGAATTTACTTATTTACAGATGAATGAAATGTATCATTAGCTCAGCAGTTCTTATTGTACAGTCTGACAGCAGCAGGAAGGAAAGACCTACGGAACCTGTCCTTCACACAGCGAGGGTGAATCAGTCTGTCACTGAAACTGCTCTCCAGAGCAGAGAGGGTGTCCTGCAGGGGGTGACAGTCATGGTCCAGAGTAGATGTTAGTTTGCTCAGGACCCTCCTGTCCCCCACCTGCTGCCACCACAGATAAGATAAGATAAAAAAATGTATCTCACAATGGAGAAATTACATGTCACATTTCGCATAGATATAAACACTCAGATTGTGCAAAAAGATATGAAGTGTGCAAGCTTGTTAAAGGTTAAGAATATAGTCCGTGTAGGATATAGTATGTACTATAAAAGTGTATGTAGCAGTGCTGGTTTTTCAGTCCTATTGCAGGTCATTAGTGACTTAATGTACAGTCCGACAGCAGTGGGGATGAAAGCCCTGCGGTAGAGCTCCTTATTGCACTACGGGTGTCTCAGTCTTCCACTGAAGGAGCTCCTCTACAGTCCTATGCAGTGGGAAGTGACTGACTAGCACCCTCCTGTTCCTCACCTCCTCCAATGAGTCCAAGGAGCAGCTCAAAGTGGAGCTGGCCCTCCTGACCAGCTTGTTCAGTCTGTTTCTGTCCCGCTCTGTGCTGCCCGGGGCCCAACACACGGCAGCGTAGTAAATGGCAGAAGCTACCACAGAGTCATAAAAGGTCCTGAGCAGAGGCCTGCTCACTCCGAAGGACCTCAGCCTCCTCAGAAGGAAGAGGCAGCTTTGGCCCTTCTTGTGCAGGGAGTTGTGAGACCAGTCCAGTTTATTGTTAATGTGAACACCCATAAAAATGTTATAGTCCCACTTGTTTTAAAAGTTACTGGGGATTCACAAAACAAACTTTGTTTATGATGTTTAAATGGTATGATAGCGTTTATTTGAACAGGAAGTCAAAGGAAGGATTCTCAATCAGACTTGTAGTCCTGGAGCAGCTGGCTGTAAAATAGATAAATATACATATTTTAAAAAATATCTATAAATATTAATACTGATACAAAGATGACATCACTAAAGTATTTTAAAAGCAACTTGTGGTCACACATTCTAACAATCATCAGTCTCTCAGAAAAATTAAGTCTTTCTAAATAAGTTGGACATATATCTCCCTTTTGAACAAATCCATGCATGAATTGTAATATTTGGGGAACAATTGAATATTGTCATGATTTTCAACAACTGTGACTGCAAGTATTGCGATTTGATACTACGATATTCTTATCCCCCATATTATTCAAAGGCATTACAACAATGTTATGTAAGGCTGCTCAACTCAAATAGCATATTTTTTATGGTCTGCACATAAGTGCAAAATGTGAGGGTAGTTCAAGTGAAAACGCCTTCATCATAACTTGTGATCATATCGCAATATGTTGCTGTACTGCAATGATTTAATTAAATGCGCAAAATATCACAATACTGAATAGAATTGATGTTTCACGTTGGTCTCTGTCCCAGGTCTCGGTCCTCTCCCTGGGGGGAAGTTTCCGGAGAGCGCTGGAGCGTTCCATTATGAAGAGAGCGAAAAACTACTTTCTGTGACGAGCAACCGCTTCATCCACTGGTGAGTGACTTCTACAGAGAGGGGAGACCGGAGAGGGGAGACCGGAGAGGGGAGCCCGGAGAGGGGAGCCCGGAGAGGGGAGCCCGGAGAGGGGAGCCCGGAGAGGGGAGCCCGGAGAGGGGGACCAGCCCCATGTGAGCAGGAGTGTATAGAGCTGTTGTTATGTGTCTTCAGGTTGACATGTGGAGACACCGTGCACCTGGTGGAGCTCTCTCTGGACACAAACCTCCTGAACAACGCGGTGAAGCTCACGTTCAGCCACTGCTCCGTTCTGCCAGGAGGGGTCGCTGTTCAGGAGACACTCAACAACGTCATCGTCCTCATCTGCACCAACCAGAGTGTCCACCGGCTGGTCCTGCCACACCCGACACGCATGTACCGCAGTGTGAGTACCAGATGGAAACACATACACGTAGCACAGTGTGAGTAATGCACACAGACACACACAGTCCCTGTATTAAAGCAGAGGTATGCAACTTTAGTCCCATAAACAATGCATTTTGTTTGTCCAACAGAAAATTAAATAATCAAAACCCACATTTTTGGGTGTAATGCTATCTTGCGGTTGGTCCTCTATTTTTCACTTTTCTGTCTGAAAAAGTTGATATAAAGATGTGACGGAGGCCAAAAATACATGATGTGAAAACTAGTACTATTTTATTTGTTTTATTGTTCTGGTCTGAAAAATGCACGCCTCTCTCCCTCCTTAGGACCTGGTGTCTGAGCTCCATATGCAGTCCATCTTCACAGACGTGGGAAAGCTGAGTCTCCTGGAGGGACCCCACAGCGCCCCTATCCCCTCCTCAGGGAACTACAGCCCCAGCTCTGCAGTGTGCTGGATCAGCCACAAGGGGGAGGCACTGTACGGAATGGCCTCCCCCACAGGCGGCATCACGGTGGTCACGCTACCGCCGCACGACGGACAAGGTGCGTCTACTCCACACAACACGAGAGAGAGAGGGACCAGAGAGGGACCAGAGAGGGACCAGAGAGGGACCAGAGAGGGACCAGAGAGGGACCAGAGAGGGACCAGAGAGGGACCAGAGAGGGACCAGAGAGGGACCAGAACTACACAGAGAAGAGAGCGTTTCAGAGCACAGATTTCTAATATCCTTGCGGATATTAGATATGTATGTACTTGGACATTTAGGCCACGCGCTCATTTTTGCTTTGTAACATTTTTCTCAATCTCTCTCTTCCTGTAACACTTCTCTCTCAATCTCTCTCTCTCCCCCTGACCCACCTCACAATGTCTTTCTCTCCCTTGTAATGCCACTCTCTTTCTCTCTCTTTCTATCTTCTTAGGGTCTCTCACGGTCACTGAGCTGAAGCGGTCGTCCATGATGCGTCGGATCTCTGGCTGGATGCCGTCCTCCATCGTTGGGGACCAGAGCTCGGAGCTGGTGCTGAGTTTAGCCGTGCGAGAGCTGGAGGACGACAGCTTCATCTTCGCTCTGTGTCAGGACCACAAACTGCGGCTGTGGTCTCTGCGGGTGAGCCACGGCCCTCCACCACGTCACATGTTTAACCAGGATGATACAGGGACCAAATCTCTCTGGCCTTCTCTCTTGTCCCCGTCTCTGGTCTCCCTCTTTCTGGTCACTCTCTCTGATCTCTTTCTCTGGTGGCTCTCTGGTGTCTATCTCATGCCTCTCTCTCTCTGGTCTCTCACTCTCTCTTCAGGTTTCACTCTTGTCTCACTTTTTGGTCTCTCTCTTTCTCTCTCTAGGTGTCTCTCTCTGGTCTCACTCTCTAGGTTTCTCCCTAGTCTCCCTTTTTGGTTTCTCTCTCTCTCATCTCTCGCTATGGTCACTGTCTCTCTGGTCTCACTCTGCTCTCAATCTGCTCTCTCTTACCACGGCACTGCGTCAAACTTTCGAGATTTTCAAAGTACTAAGTTTGTTTTGAACTTCTTTCTTTGAGAAGCCGACACGGGTCCAAACAACACTCCGGCCTTCCTCTCTGTTGACGCTCTCGGGTCTCGTCCTCAGGAGCAGCTGTGTCTCCTGGAGGTGGACCTGCTGGAGTACGTTCCTTCGGGCAGGGGTCTGAAGCGGCTCTCCTCAGCGGGTCATCGCCTCAGGCTGGTCTTCAGCCCGAGCACTGGTCTGTGCGTGTGTGCTTACCTCAGCTTCCCTCACAGCGGACAGTTCACTGTCCTCCAGCTGGTGGCCACGGACAACCAGAAATACAGCCTGGACCACATCTCCACGCTCTTCTCTACACAGGTGACTTCACAATGCACACCAGGCGAAGCAAGGCAAATTTATTTGTATAGCACAGTTCATACACAAGGTAACTGTCTTCTAAAAGCAAAATACAACAAATCAGTAATAAAGATGAACAATCAAGTTAAGTCATGTCAAATCATACCACAAATATGAAATAAATATGAACAGAGTCTGCAGTCAGAAGCTCTGGATTCATCTATGCTCCCTCCCTCACCTCTGGTCATGAGCTTTGATTAATGTCCAAAAGGTCTCAGTGGGTGCGGGTCCCGGCTCAAAAAGGTCCATGAGCATGTGCGCTGACATGCTTCACAGCCTGGTTCAAAAGTCGTCTCTTGGCCCAACGTATCGTTCCAGATGTGTGTCAATGCTGAGGGGAGTTATTTCTTTTTTGGACCAGCCTAGTTTAGCCGCTGTGGACTTTTGAATGCACTCGTTAAATGAATAGGGTTTGGGCCTGCTAACGCATGTGCAAATGCGTTTTTTCATCTATAGTCTTTACCTCTAGTCCCCCTGGTCCTGTCTTAGAGACTGGGTGAATAGCTCAGTCACACCTTGGAGGAGAGCCACTGCTTCTCCACGACAAGATGAACTAGTTGGCTCATGCGTCAGTTTGTCCTTCTTTCTTTCATTAATTCATTTTCAAATCAGATTCAATTATGCTGACTCATCAGTTTGCCCTGTGAGTAATTTTTTTGACTCTTTGGGCTGAAAGCTGAAGGCTGAGTGAGGGTGGTCCTCTCCTCGTCACTTCACATAGAAAAGTGACAGAGGCATACACAGGGAACATTCAGTGCTATACACCGCCCCCTGTCGGTCATCTGGGATTCATAACCATGGTTTTATTGTGGTTTTAAAGTTACGTACCCAAGCTTTAATTGTGTAAACCTGTTTGTCCTGTGTTCAGGAGACGCTGGTGGACTTCTGTCTGACCTCCACTGAAGTCTGGGCTCTGTGGGTGGACGACACAAGCTCCACAATCATCAAATATATAAACTTTGAGCAGTAAGTATCTCCTCTCCCCTGGTGCGTGTGTGCGTGCGCGCGCCCATTTTCTTCCCCTGGGGGGGGTGGCTGTCAGTTGTACACAGCACCAGCCTATATATGTGTGTATTTAAAAAAAATAAATAAATAAATATATATATATATTCATATATATATATAAACATAAGATCTCTAAAGATTACATTTATAACTGTGTTTGTGCAGTAATGCCGCGGGACAGTGGAACCAGGTCTTCACTCAGCCGGCCCCAGAGGAGGAGGTCCACATCGGGGTCGACCAGGATCCTCGGGTAACAAACCAATTAAATTAATTTTAAATGCAAAGGGAATGACAAGATAGTGTCATGTTGGATCAGAGATGTGTTATTTCATCATTAATTGGTCTCTCTCTGGTCTCTATCTCTCTGATCAGTCTCTTGTCTTTCTCTGGTGTCTCTGTGACTTGAAAAAAAGTTTAAATGGGAAGTAAAAGTCAAATATTTTTTAAAATATATATATATATATTTTAAAACCTTTTCATAGGAGACGTATCTGGACGTGTTGTTTTCTCCGCTGACCTTCACAGCAGCCGCCATCGTCAAAGCTCTGCAGGTCAGACTTAACCGGGAGTAAGACTACAGCCGTATGTGACATCACAGACCAGGCTGATCTGACAGTTATAATGCTGGACTGAGACTCTCCAGATGATGTTTAAGAGACTGAATGTGCTGTTCCTCTGAGATGACTTCTGTTGTGACCTAGGGCTATACAAGAATAAATTGTATTGTATTGTATTTAAACTGTCCCAGATCTACAGACGCGGCTCAGAGAGGTTCACAGATCTGTCCTGGGATGCTCTGAAGCGGGAGGTGGCTGTCGCCGTGGAGACAGATGTAAGTGAAACACTGATCTCTGTAGAAGAGACTTCAGACTGGTGTGTGTCCTTATATATATGTTTGTGTGTTTCAGCTCCAGGGCAGTGTGACAGAGTTCGAGTTCTCTCAGGAGGAACACAGACAGCTCTTGGTGGAGTTCTGGTCTAAGTTCTACGCCTGTGTGCTGCAGTACCAGGAGGACCTGTCTCTGCCCTTGGCTCTCAGCGTGGACCCCCACACTGGCATGGCCTGTGTGCTCAAGAAGGTACTGCACCACAGACACACAACCACAAAAACGGATTCAAAGAATACACTAGGACGGTCTGATCCCAGCGCACCACACAATGCTTCTTGGTTAAAAATAGGTTGATAGATGATAGTTTTCTCCATATTGCTGATCTGACCTGGTGTTGTCTCAGGCTCTGGTCTCTCCTGGTCTCTCTCTGTGGTCTTTCTTGCTGGTCGCTCTTCTTCCTCACTGGTTTCTTCTCTCTCTCTCTGGTCTCTGTCTGGTCTTGTTCCAGGATCTGGTCTGGCTCTTCTAATCTGGTCTTGTCTGGTTTCAGGGTCTGGTCTCATTCCTGTTGCCGTGTTTTGCCGTGGATCATCTGTACCTGTCCTGTGATAGCTACATGTCCACAGAGGAGGAGACGCCCATCACAGAAGGTCAGCTCTAAAGAACCCACATTTGCTCTACATCGCAGTAGAACAAGGGTGTCCCAAGGAATTCCTTCTAAAAAGTCATGCGCGTCATGTGGCTCCACAATTTTACCTTCTTCTGACCAAAATATTAAACGTAGTTCACCTTTCTTGGTCTCGCTATTTCCCTGATTTATTTTGTGCAATGGTGTTTTTTTTCCGGCATGCTTCTCTTGTGCAGCTTTTAACTCCAACAACACATCTTTATCTTTCTTTTCCTTCTTTTCTTATCTTTCAGTTTTATGTACTGTGATTATTTATCATTTTAATGCTATCTTATTTTGTTCAGCACTTTGAGTTGCCTTGTGTATGAATTGTGCTATAGAAATAAACTTGTCTAAGCCTTGCCTTAAAGTCAGAAGTTAAAGTTTGTGGCTTTCTCTGTGGTCTCTCGGTCTCTCATTCTCTCTGGCTCTCCACAGACGCAGACCTGGCTCGTGACGTGCTGACCGTGGCGCAGTGCCTTCGCCTGCTCAGTGACGTGGTTTCTGGGGAGATGTGGTACGAGATGGAGAAGGCTCTGGACCAGCTGGAGTCTCCTGAGAGAGCGGCAGAGCAGGTCCTGGACAACATGCTCTCCAACGACAGGCGAGTCCCACTTATACAGCCACAGCACACTCTCAACCTCTGGTCTCTATGGTCTCTCTCTCTGGTCTTTGGGGTATATCTCTCTGCTTTCTTTCTTGTCTCTCTCTTGTCTCTCTCTCTGGTCTCTTTGGTCACTCATTCGTCCTTTCTTCTGTGCAGTGAGAACGTGCTGGAGGACATTCAGAACAAACTGCAGGACGTGAGGAGCCCAGTGTCTGCCATGAATGTGTTACTGCGAGAATTGGACCTAGAGGCCGAGGCCGAGACGGAGACTCCACAGAGCACAGGTACAGAGGGAGAGAACCCACAGAGCGCAGGTACAGAGGGAGAGAACCCACAGAGCGCAGGTACAGAGGGAGAGAACCCACAGAGCGCAGGTACAGAGGGAGAGAACCCACAGAGCGCAGGTACAGAGGGAGAGAACCCACAGAGCGCAGGTACAGAGGGAGAGAACCCACAGAGCGCAGGTCTCTCTGGTGTCCTTGTCTCTTGTGTCTCTCTTGTATCTCCCTGACATCTCTGCTCTCTCTCTATGGTCTCCTTCTGGTCTCTTGCAGGCCTTGACATTAAGCTTTGTCAGCCACTTGCCCTTCGGGCAAGTACCATTTATATTTTACTTGCCCAAAGTCAAAAGTTACTTGACCAAAAATGTCTTAATATAATGAGTTAACAAGAGTTTGGCCATCGTGTGTGTGTGTGTATATATAATGTGTATAATTTTCAATATGCTATATATTGTGTGTATTGGATACTTTCTTTTAACAATGGGCCGTGTTGTATTGTGTTCTTAATAAAGATTAATAATAAAAACACCCCTCTCTGCCCAAAAAGTCAAATAATGACTAATGATTAAGTATGCAAAACAAAAAAACAAGTCTCCTGTTGGGGTGTGTTCTATTGGATTTGTTCACAACATTTTACTTTGGTGCACAACCAACATGCATTGTTAAATGCAAGGGTAAATTTTAGGTACCCGAGCTTAAATTTTGTGAGTGAACGCGCGTCTATGTTTTTTGTCTGCGCTTTTATGGTCCTGCCCTCACGTCTATGGTTCTGCCCTCACGTCTATGGTTCTGCCCTCACGTCTATGGTCCTGCCCTCACGTTTATGGTCCTGCCCGCGGCGTCTATGGTTCTGCCCTCACGTCTATGGTTCTGCCCTCACGTCTATGGTTCTGCCCTCACGTCTATGGTTCTGCCCTCACGTCTATGGTCCTGCCCTCACGTCTATGGTCCTGCCCTCACGTCTATGGTCCTGCCCTCACGTCTATGGTTCTGCCCTCACGTCTATGGTCCTGCCCTCACGTCTATGGTCCTGCCCTCACGTCTATGGTCCTGCCCTCACGTCTATGGTCCTGCCCTCACGTCTATGGTCCTGCCCTCACGTCTATGGTCCTGCCCTCACGTCTATGGTCCTGCCCTCACGTCTATGGTCCTGCCCTCACGTCTATGGTCCTGCCCTCACGTCTATGGTCCTGCCCTCACGTCTATGGTCCTGCCCTCACGTCTATGGTCCTGCCCTCACGTCTATGGTCCTGCCCTCACGTCTATGGTCCTGCCCTCACGTCTATGGTCCTGCCCTCGGCGTCTATGGTCCTGCCCGCGGCGTCTATGGTCCTGCCCTCACGTCTATGGTTCTGCCCTCACGTCTATGGTTCTGCCCTCACGTCTATGGTTCTGCCCTCACGTCTATGGTCCTGCCCTCACGTCTATGGTCCTGCCCTCACGTCTATGGTCCTGCCCTCACGTCTATGGTCCTGCCCTCACGTCTATGGTTCTGCCCTCACGTCTATGGTCCTGCCCTCACGTCTATGGTCCTGCCCTCACGTCTATGGTCCTGCCCTCACGTCTATGGTCCTGCCCTCACGTCTATGGTCCTGCCCTCACGTCTATGGTCCTGCCCTCACGTCTATGGTCCTGCCCTCACGTCTATGGTCCTGCCCTCACGTCTATGGTCCTGCCCTCACGTCTATGGTCCTGCCCTCACGTCTATGGTCCTGCCCTCACGTCTATGGTCCTGCCCGCGGCGTCTATGGTCCTGCCCTCACGTCTATGGTCCTGCCCTCACGTCTATGGTTCTGCCCTCACGTCTATGGTTCTGCCCTCACGTCTATGGTTCTGCCCTCACGTCTATGGTCCTGCCCTCACGTCTATGGTCCTGCCCTCACGTCTATGGTCCTGCCCTCACGTCTATGGTTCTGCCCTCACGTCTATGGTCCTGCCCTCACGTCTATGGTCCTGCCCTCACGTCTATGGTCCTGCCCTCACGTCTATGGTCCTGCCCTCACGTCTATGGTCCTGCCCTCACGTCTATGGTCCTGCCCTCACGTCTATGGTCCTGCCCTCACGTCTATGGTCCTGCCCTCACGTCTATGGTCCTGCCCTCACGTCTATGGTCCTGCCCGCGGCGTCTATGGTCCTGCCCTCACGTCTATGGTTCTGCCCTCACGTCTATGGTTCTGCCCTCACGTCTATGGTTCTGCCCTCACGTCTATGGTCCTGCCCTCACGTCTATGGTCCTGCCCTCACGTCTATGGTCCTGCCCTCACGTCTATGGTCCTGCCCTCACGTCTATGGTTCTGCCCTCACGTCTATGGTCCTGCCCTCACATCTATGGTCCTGCCCTCACGTCTATGGTCCTGCCCTCACGTCTATGGTCCTGCCCTCACGTCTATGGTCCTGCCCTCACGTCTATGGTCCTGCCCTCACGTCTATGGTCCTGCCCTCACGTCTATGGTCCTGCCCTCACGTCTATGGTCCTGCCCTCACGTCTATGGTCCTGCCCTCACGTCTATGGTCCTGCCCTCACGTCTATGGTCCTGCCCTCACGTCTATGGTCCTGCCCTCACGTCTATGGTCCTGCCCTCACGTCTATGGTCCTGCCCGCGGCGTCTATGGTCCTGCCCTCACGTCTATGATCCTGCCCTCACGTCTATGGTTCTGCCCTCACGTCTATGGTTCTGCCCTCACGTCTATGGTTCTGCCCTCACGTCTATGGTCCTGCCCTCACGTCTATGGTCCTGCCCTCACGTCTATGGTCCTGCCCTCACGTCTATGGTTCTGCCCTCACGTCTATGGTCCTGCCCTCACGTCTATGGTCCTGCCCTCACGTCTATGGTCCTGCCCTCACGTCTATGGTCCTGCCCTCACGTCTATGGTCCTGCCCTCACGTCTATGGTCCTGCCCTCACGTCTATGGTCCTGCCCTCACGTCTATGGTCCTGCCCTCACGTCTATGGTCCTGCCCTCACGTCTATGGTCCTGCCCTCACGTCTATGGTCCTGCCCTCACGTCTATGGTCCTGCCCGCGGCGTCTATGGTCCTGCCCGCGGCGTCTATGGTCCTGCCCTCACGTCTATGGTCCTGCCCTCGCGTCTATGGTCCTGCCCTCGCGTCTATGGTTCTGCCCGCGGCGTCTATGGTTCTGCCCGCGGCGTCTATGGTTCTGCCCTCACGTCTATGGTCCTGCCCGCGGCGTCTATGGTCCTGGCCGCGGCGTCTATGGTCCTGCCCGCAGCGTCTATGGTCCTGCCCTCACGTCTATGGTCCTGCCCGCGGCGTCTATGGTCCTGCCCGCGGCGTCTATGGTTCTGCCCTCACGTCTATGGTTCTGCCCTCACGTCTATGGTCCTGCCCGCGGCGTCTATGGTCCTGCCCGCGGAGTCTATGGTCCTGCCCGCGGCGTCTATGGTCCTGCCCGCGGCGTCTATGGTCCTGCCCGCGGCGTCTATGGTCCTGGCCGCGGCGTCTATGGTCCTGCCCTTACGTCTATGGTTCTGCCCGCAGCGTCTATGGTTCTGCCCTCACGTCTATGGTCCTGCCTGCGGCGTCTATGGTCCTGCCTGCGGCGTCTATGGTCCTGTCCGCCGTCTATGGTCCTGTCCGCGGCGTCTATGGTCCTGTCCGCGGCGTCTATGGTACAAAGCGGCCCCTTTTGCCCTGGGCTCTGAGCGGAGGATGTAAATGCCAACAGAATGTGCCCGCGGTCACACATTTAACAGAAATGACGTTTTCAGCGGAAAAAAGTTGTAAAGCGCGGATCCTCGGAACATTTTAATTCCTGGTTTATCCAGATGCATTTCATTGATCCAGACAATTTACTAATGAAGAGAGATATCCAAAAAACGAGAAACAAAGCAAATGTATTCCCAGCCTGAATGCGTTAAAGCAACATATCACTTGCCCGATCAGGCAACTTGCTAAAACGGCGCACTTTCCCGTCCCAATTCTTTACTTGCCCCGGGCAAGCGGACAACCGTTAATGTCGAGCCCTGTCTTGTCTCTCTCAGGTACAGTGGGGCAAACAAGTATTTAGTCAGCCACCAATTGTGCAAGTTCTCCCACTTAAAATAATGACAGAGGTCTGTAATTTTCAACTGTGAGAGACAGAATGTGAAAAAAAAATCCAGGAATTCACATTTCCACCATAATTTATTTGTAAATTATGGTGGAAAATAAGTATTTGGTCAATAACAAAAATTCAACTCTTTAAATTCTTTAAAAATCCTACAATGTGAATTCCTGGATTTTTTTCACATTCTGTCTCTCACAGTTGAAGTGTACCTATGATGAAAATTACAGACCTGTCATTCTTTTAAGTGGGAGAACTTGCTCAATCGGTGGCTGACTAAATACTTGTTTGCCCCACTGTATCTCCTTGCAATCCCTGTTTCCTATGTTCTCTCTCTTCTCTCTACTCTCTCTCTCTCTCTCCGGTGTCCCTCTGGTCTTCTGCTCTCTCTCTGGTCTCACTTGTCTCTCCTCTCTCCACAGCTCACTCCCTGCAGACCCGCCTCTCCCTCTCTCAGCTCTATGGTAGCTCCACGGCGGTGTCCATGCTTTCCCAGGCCCTGGTAACCGTGGCCACGACCAGAGCTCAGTTCTGTAGAGACCTGCTGATCCTGCAGAAGCTGTACCTGCGCTTTGGAGACAACGTGAGCCTCTCTCTGCTCTTCACGGTCGGCCACACGGATTCTTCTCACGTCGGCTTATCTTCCACAGGTGTTCCTGGGGGGCGGGGCATGGCTGTTGCAGCTGCAGCAGGACTTGATTCCACGCAGTTCTCACCTGCTGTCGTCCTATCACCTGCTGAAGAACATCTCCCAGACCCTCGCCTCCTCTGTCCCAGTAGACATAATGTACGTGTTCATAAGTAGAACTTGCAACCTCATTCTTTTCAAAGGTCTCGCTCTGGTCTCACCCTGGTCTCTCTCTGTTCCTAGGTACTCTCATGTCTTCTGAATTGAAAAGCAACTCTTAATTGTACTTCTTTTTTTCCCTCAGAGACGCAAACCTGCAGCATCTGACTGTCCTGGAGCTGTCCGACTCCCCCGCGCTCTCCTCCCACAGCACAGGTCTATCTCTCTCTCTGGTCTTGCTCTGTGGTCTCTCTCTGGCCTCTCTTTCTCTCTGGTCTCCCTCTCTCGTCTCTCTCTCTCTGTCTCTGACCTATCTTTCTTTCTCTGACCTATCTCTCTGGCTTCTCTCTCTCTTTTGCCTCTCTCGGACCTCTCTCTGACCTCTCTCTGTCTTTGGCCTCTCTCTCTGGTCTCTCTCTCTCTCTCTGACCTTTCTCTCTGGTCTTCCTCTCTCTCTGACCTCTCTCTCAGGCCTCTCTCTTTAGCCTCTCTCGCTAACCTCTCACTCTGGTCTCTCTGTCTCTCTCTGATCTCTCTCCCTCTCTCTCTCTGGTCTCATAGAGCTCTTCTTGTTTCTGTGCAGTCCTGAGTCCTCAGACGGTCGTCGAGCTCTTCTATCAGACCTCGGCTCGTAAATCTATCATCTCTCAGATCTACGCTCAGAGGAACAGTGAAGCCGAGCTGCTGCAGTGGAGCCACATGGTGTCGAGTGTGGTGCACCTGCTGGGACAGAGCCTGTATCCTTCACAATAACAGCCATGCTTATTTGAGAAGAGGGAGACCAGAGAGAGGGAGAGACCAGAGAGAGGGAGAGACCAGAGAGAGGGAGAGACCAGAGAGAGGGAGAGACCAGAGAGAGGGAGAGACCATAGAAGTCCTCTGTTCACCTGTACCAGTATGAATTCACTGTCTGTTCTGGTCCTGACCCGGTCCTTCAGCTGGCCTTCGAACCCTGGATTCCAGTTCCCAGAGTGTCTGATGGTGAACTGTCAGAATACACAGCTGCAGGTGAGACTCTTCTTTTCAAATACAATTTTGAGGATTGAGCTGCTTCCTGTATTTAAAACAGTTTTGCCTCTAATTTCACCACTTTATATCCACTACACATATCTGGGAACATGTTCTACTTTTCAGATTCAGATTCATTTATTTGCCATTTGCAGTAAAACCACATTGGAAAACTGTGCAAGACTACCCCGGTGTGCACCAGAAGACGACACACACCAGAGCTCTTGCCACGGCGCCATTTTTACGGCGCCATGCGACAAACAGTAGAATAACAGTTATTCAACAGCATAGAGCAAAACAGACATATATTTCAACAAACATGGGGAGAGACACGGTACATGTGGAAAAACATGCGGATCTTTTTAATGGGAAGTCATCACTCTGGCCCGCCTCGTCCAATATAGCGCGTCAGAGGGGAGTGTGGGTGGGGGAGGTGGAGGGGAAGACCACCATAGACTGAAAAAGAGAGAGAGGCAGACATGTAGGGGGGGGGGGGACTGTAACTGGTGTTCTGAGTTGTGAGTCTGAGATAGATAAGAGTCCAGTGTCAGCCTTGAGTGGCCGTGTGTGGTGGTGGAATGTGAAGGACAAAGATAGCGCAGGTGCCTGCAAACATTGGAGACAAAACAACACATGCCCTTGTGGGAAATTTGAATAAGCACTTTTAGCTGATCAATGAAAGGCAGTGTAAACTAAAGCCAATATGTCCAAATTATACTGGAACTGGACCCTCCGTTCACCGTTATCCGGAGTTGACCACGTCAGTACGAGGTTCCACCGTGAGGCCCAAGTCCTTCAATCAATCCTTCCACGCGTTTAAGTCCATCCAAAGATCTCACTCCCAGGTCGTTAAGGGAATGTTCGATCCGACTCACACCCCATTGTGTCCCCACTGTGCCCTCGACCACGACTCTGACCAACTCGCGGAAACTCTCCTTGTTTTCCGCGGACAGCCGCTCGTAAATCTTCTGAGTGGACAGCCCTCCAACTTTGCGGTAGATCAAGCCAACTCCAAATCCAATCAGGAGGAACCCTGCTACCATAAATCCAAAAATGTATATATCCTCAATGTCCTCGATGGACAGTCCCGACAGACAAACGGGGTGCCACTTTTGCCAGTTGTCAAAAACGTACCCAGCAGCCGCCGTACCATCCGGGCAAACGGCATCTCCAGAACCGCCTTTACGTGATGAAAAAAATAGTATCAATTGCGTTGAGGGACCAGTTGATTAATTCCATCATTTTTTCAAGTTGTATACAGGCAGAAGTCTAGGAAAAAAGACAGTCAGGGCAAGCAGAGCAGGAGAGACACGTCTGACCTCGAGGAGAGCAGGAAGAGAAGCCCGGGTAAAGCTCGGGTAAAGCTCGGGTATGTAACTTTCAGGCCTCAACAATTATACCCATGTCTCTAGTGCCTGGCAGTTTTTTTCTATCACTAGTATCACCAGGGAGAGAGGGACTAGAGAGGGAGAGAGACTAGAGAGGGAGAGTGAGACCACAGAGGGAGAGTGAGACCACAGAGGGAGAGTGAGACCACAGAGGGAGAGAGAGACCACAGAGGGAGAGAGAGACCAGGACCCTAATCCTCTGTGACTGTTGTGTTTCAGGAGTATGTGCGTCTGTCCAGTCCCTGGTGTCAGGTGAACATCGGCTCCTGTCGCTTCATGTTGGGACAGTGTTACCTCGCCACTGGAGAGGGACAGAAGGTAAACACATGTCCTCTGTCATACACACATTCACCACAGCTTTGTGTGACATCACAGGCCAGATTCATCACAGAATGTTGTGCTTTCAGGCACTGCAGTGTTTCCAGGAGGCCTCCAGTGAAGTGGAGAAAGAAGAGTTTCTGATGAAGCTCACAGGCGCAGAGGACGAGGAGGCAGCCCCTACTGCGCGCTTGCAGTACTACAACAAGGTACTGCTGCTGCTGCTGCTGCTGCCAGACTGGTTAGATCCAAAAGCTCTGACACTGTGGTGCAGTAAGTCTTTCTCTCCTCTCTGCAGGTGCTGCGTCTGCTGGAGGACGTGGGTCTCCCTGAGCTGGTGATTCAGCTCTCCACTCTGGCCATCAGCGAATCAGCCAACGACCCCAGCTCCCAGGTAACGGTCATTACTTAGGTCAGGGGTGTCCAAACATTATAGGAAGAGGGCCACTTTAGTTCACCAGACTAGTCCAGGGGCCGGCGTCAAGGACTGAAAAATTGGCATCAAGACAGATTTACCCTCTTAACACCCGCCTCATTTTGGCTCGTGCACAAAAGTTGGGCATACCCAAATGTCTTTGCTTATTTAAAAACACGTCACAGTGTGATGCATCATTTCAAAGCTAGAGCCTTCTAGTTTATGTAAATATACACTAAAATAATTTCACTCTGCATCCTTTGAAGTTTGGGAAAAAAACCTGTTTTTTTTAGCCTCGCCTACAATGTTCCATTTCTAAAGGCCCTAAAAAAGGCATACTTCATTGTAAGTTCAGATTTCTAAGTATTATAGTTTTTATGCAGTTTCTCTTTTTCATCAAGTAGTGCCATTCAGAATCAATTTGGCACACTTTGGCAAAGTCTTTTGGAGCTGTCCTTTGAGTGGACTTTAATGTCCTCAATCATCATAAAAAACAGATTGTTTTAATTTTTGGTACTTATAAGTTACAAATCTGTGTGATTTGTCTGGCTAAAAACAAATACAGACAGACCATGCGCAAAAGTTGGCCGCTTGTTTTATTCACGGGGGTGTTGCAGACAAACTCGAGCACTTATCTCTTCAAAACCCCTTGTGGGGTTTGGTGTTAAAAATATTGCCAGCAGAACATTTAAAAAAATAAATATCGCGGGTGGTTGAATGTTAAGAGGTCAAAATGATCTAATATGGGCTTTAGAACGAGTTACTAGATGTCTATAATGGCTGAGCTGAAGTTGAATGGATGACGCAGTGAACTTGTTTGTTATCTCAAAAACTACTTTTGGTTAGCAAGCCAGAGGGGCACATAAAAAGACACTGATGGCCGCAATTGGCCCCGAGCCTGAGTTTGGACACGCCTGGCGTATGTCAAAGTCACTACATACTAGGGATGTAAATCGGTGACCGGTTAACCGGTGGTTGACCGTCACAACGTTAACCGGTCAAAGCTGTCGGTTAAAAAAGAGAATAAGGGGAGAGGGCCGGTCTCTTAATAACGCTGTTTTAAACTCTATTTGCACGGTGTGACGAGCGGGTCTGTCTCTGGCTGTGTGCGCCAATGTATTAAACTCCGAGCCGACTTTCATGCGCCGCGCACACACACACATTCATGCGCCGCGCACACACACACATTCACGCACGCACACACACATACATGCACGCACACACAAGTGCCATTTCACACTTGCGCACCTTTTCCCCGTTCCATTCATATGTAACATCCACACGCATCATCCATACTCTACATTGGAGCACACACACATACATTTACACACACGTACATTTACACACACACCGGTCTGTCACGCTCCTCTGTGTCACGTAGCCCAAATACGCGGCTTCAGTCAAACCCCATGGAACATGTTTGTGCTGCTGGTCCTTGTCATTAGATCAGCTCCACACACGTCACTTTATTTACACTTTAGCGGAGACCTGCGAGACGCGGCTCGTCACTCGCTGCTCTGACCATGTGGACGAGCCGTCGTTTGCTGCTGAAAAGCTTTAGTTTTAACCCGCAGCTCAGCAGAATGGGAAGATTAAAAAAGCAGTTCTCTGTGCGCAAAGGTGCCGAAGCTGTCGTGGGTTTTGGCGCCGCTGTCTCGGCTCTGATCCATTAGAACGCAGAGCTGCACTTATGAAAAGTATGCGGCTCGAAATGGCTGCTATTTCAAAGAACGTGGAATATTTAAAACTACGTGGTTAACCGGTTTCAACCGGTTAATGAGGCTCGGTGGTCGGTCATGAAAATTCAGATTTTTACATCCCTACTACATACACAGGTCAGAGAAGGTGAGGGACCAGAGAGAGTGATGAACGTGAGGAGAGTCTTTTGGAGCTCTCCTTTGAGTGGACTCGTGTTGTGACTGTTGTCCCCGTCTGTCCCTGCAGGCGGCGCTCTGGACCCGGATCTTCAAACATCACCTGGATCTGGGCCACAACAGCGAAGCGTATGAGGCCCTGACACGGAACCCCGACTCTAGCATGTAGGTCACTGAAGCGCACGGAAATGATTATTTTTAGATATTTTCTTCTCTGCTCCCTCTCTCTCTCTCTCTGCTCTCTCTCTGTTCTCTCTATGGTCAGCAGTTGAGTTCAGGTGGTTAGAAAAGTCTATAGTGTCTGGTGAGGGGTTTACAGCCTTAAGACCTAGAGCTGGTTCTTCAGGGATTTCAAAAACCGTGATCTATCGAAACGTTTAGTCCCTTCATCTCAATGCCTATGGTCACAGCAAACTCTGAAAGACACTAGACCTTGTGTGTTTTGTCGCCCCCCTGCAGGCAGCTGGACTGTCTGCGTCAGCTCGTGGTGGTGCTGTGTGAGCGATCGCAGCTGCAGGACCTGGTGCAGTTCTCCTACATCGGCCTCCACGATGAGGTCAGTGTTGAGTGTCTTGTTAAAAATACCATTGTGAACAAATCAGGCCACAACATGCTGTCTTCATCTCATGAGAAAGCATGTTTGACTCTTTGAGCTGAGAGGCAATTTGTTGCGTGAGAATTATCCTCTCGTCTTGACTTTTCTGTCTAGAAAAGCTGATCTGAAGATGTGATATAGGCCAAACATACACAATGTAAAATCTAGTTGGTTGCCTCTCTCTCTTTCTCTTGTCTCTTTCTAGTCTTTCTCTGGACTAAAATTCGTATGTGTTTTCAGGTGGTGAACATCATTGAGTCCCGAGCTCGGAGTCTGGATCTTCTGTCTCACAACTACTACGAGCTTCTGTACGCGTTTCACATCCAGAGACACAACTACAGGAAAGGTACACACCACTGTAGTCACTGACCAGGCGGTCTCCCTCTGGTCTCTCTCTGGTCTCGCTCTGGTCTCTGATCTCTCTGGTCTCTCCTCAGCTGGTACAGTGATGCTGGAGTTGGCGTTGCGTCTGGGCAGGGAGGTGCGATCGAGGGCGGGGCTTCAGCGGCAGGTGAACTGTTACCTGTCGGCTCTGAACTGTCTGCGGCTCATCCGCCCTGAGTACGCCTGGATTGTGCAGCCGGCGCCAGGAGCCACGGTGAGAGACATACACACAAGGACACAGTGAGAGATACGCACACACACACTCTCACAGACACAGTGTGAGAGACACCCACACATAGAGAGAGAGACACAGTGAGAGAGAGACAGAGAGAGAGACACACACAGGTCCAATACATGGCTTTAGATCCCAGTTTGATTTGAACATGTGTGTTTCAGTACGAGCGCCCGGGAGCTTCACCGAAGAGAAACTCAGACGGAGAATTCACCACTGAACCAGGTACAAACTCGAAGGAACCCAACATAATTCCTCTGGTCTTGCTCTCGAGTCCCTCTCTCTGGTCTCTCTCTGGTTGATCTCTGTGAGGAACGGGACATAATTCCTTCCCCTATCTCCCTCAGTGCGGCGACACGTGGACATCCTCGAGCTCTCAGACCTGGAGAAAGAGTATGTCCTGTCGCGCAGTCGCCTCACGTTGGCTCAGCATCATCCTCCGTCTGCTGCGATGGCAGGTACAGTCTCCTCAGCCCACTTGCTCAATGCTAACCCGCTAGCTCAATGAAGCCCAGTAAGGAAGTACTCATGGACAAAGTGTGTGTGTGTGTGTGTTTTAGGCAGCGCTGCAGCAGTAGAGATGGTGGCTCTCCTGGTTCAGACCGGACTCTTGGACTGTGCGATCACTCTGTGTGAGACCTTCAATCTGCCGCTGACCCCAGTGTTCGAAGGACTAACCTTCAAGTAAGCAGCGCTGTGATTGGTTCCAAAGGCATATTTAAAGATGGGGTCTCTAACTTTCACACTACACCAGCAGAACTAAACAATTAGTGCTATTTGATTAATCACACATTTATAGATACTGTAAATCTAATCCCCTCCAAAAAGACACAGTATCGGCTGCTCACTCTCTGCTTTTGTTATTGCTTTTTACATGTATTTAAACAAAGACACAAAAACACCAACCGTTGAGCTTGGATTTACTTGCAGTGTTTGTGTTCAGAATTTCACATTTGGTTCATGATGCAGCTGTAAAGTACCCTGTTGTCTGTATTCTTTCACATTTAATTTGCAAGAAAGAAAGCAATATGTAAATGAGTTTAAAAGTATTGTAGATGACACAAGTCTGCCACACGGTTCTTCTGAGGCTCGAATGATAAATGTCACTGTCGGTTTATATCATATCATGTTTCAGAAACGCTCACACGGCGTTACCGTTTACTGTGACCATGTAGACGAACACACCTGACTGCTGCTGCTGCTGTACATCAGTCATAGACTTTACAGGAGCGTTAATAGAGTAATCAAAAAAACCAACGCTGTTATTACTGCGTTGAACTGACAGTGCTACAAATTGTAGAACACCAAAACAAAATCCAGAGAAAGTTTAATCGAATACATGAACTGGCCCCCGCCCCTTCTGTGTAAATGCTGTTTTCAAACGTGTTTCACAGTGAAACCTGTATTACAGGTGTATAAAGCTGCAGCTCGGACCAGAGGAAGTTCAGAACGAGGCCTGGAGCTGGTTAGCAGCAAATCAACTTTCTACAGTCGTCAACACCAAAGAATCCAGGTGCTCTCTCTGGTCCCACCTTTCTCTCGCTGGTCCTTGGCCTCTGGTTTAATCTGGTCCCACCTCTCTCCCTCAGTGCCGTGGACGAGGCCTGGAGACTCTTGTCTTCGTACTTGGACAGATTCTCATCTGACGGACGACAACACAAACACGTCATCACCAAACTGCTGTCCCACGGTGTGCCCCTCCCCGATTGGCTGACGGCAACCTACAAGGTTCACCCCTCGTTCATCTGAGCTAAAAAGTCTTAATCTCCAGTCCATGTTCTGGAGTTCATGATCGAGATCTATGTTGGGTGTTCTGTGAATGACAGTTTCCCATGATGCTCTCTGCTGTAGTCCCTGGACGCCGCATCGTTGCTCCGCCTCTACCTGAACTTTGACCTCCTGGAGAGTGCTGCGGAGCTGGTGCTGGAGTATGTAGATGCAGTACTTGGGAAAGGACATCAGTACTTTGGGATCCAGGCAAGTATTAAGTACAAGGAGAGGTACTACAGCTTCTAAAGCAGTGACCAGAGCTCTGAGTGCAGACGCTGCTCCTTCTTGTTGTGTGTAACAGTTGTTTTGTGTTTGTAGAAGCCGCTGTCGGCCACAGGGCATCAGGTGTGGCTGCCCTACACCTGCATCGACCACCTGCTGCAGGCGCTGAGGGGCTCCCAGAGCAGCATACATGTGAGTGACCAGCAGGGGGCTCTGCTCGCTCTAGTCTCCCTCTGCTCTGATAACAAGTGTCTCTGGTTTCAGATTTATAACAAACTCCAGGACAAACTGGACAATTATCAGCGTTTAGTGGATCAAGCAACAAAGCGGAGATTGCAGACGAGGACCATGTGGAGTCAATCGGGCGAACAGATGTGACTGACCAATGGGGGGCGCTGTGTAAATAATGAATGTATTTTATTTTTTATGCTTTTGCAGTAAATGTAAAAAAAAATAAAATTGACTTAATGGAAATGTTCTCCTTGAGTACAGAACAGTAAGTTTCAAAACACCCTCTGCTCACGAATCACACCAGGAACAATACTTTCTCTTTCACTTTTCGGTCTGGAAATAAAGATGTGACTAGGGCCAAAAACACATGAGAACTAGTTAAGACTTGATCCTTAAATTTGAACACCTTTGGGATTAATGCAGTAAATCTAAAATGTATTCTTGTATAGCCCTAAATCATATCTAGCCCCGAGGACTTCACCGTTGAAATTGTCGGATAATCTAACGCCATGTGTTTCAATAGTGTCATTTGAACACGTGCGACCACTGGATGGCGCCATTGGACTCATAGCATGATAATAATTTCTTCATATTGGGCTTTGTTGCTGCGTTTCATTATATAGACAAACCAAGACGCTTTTTTTCTTTTTAAAAAATAATTTATTAACATTTGAACACATACAAAATGACATGAGCCTCAAGTCTCCTGCGCTCGTGCGGAATACTCCGAAGTCGCCAGAAAGCGGCGAATTCGACAAATAAAAATACGATTTATTTGAACATTCACTTCATTTGTTTTTTTTAGTCCTCGAATTGTCAGTCACAGTTACTCTCTCAGAGTCCAAATTTGAGAATTTCTGATTGGATTTTCTCGTGGCATAATTATCCTTTGACCTTGGGGGAAAAGAGCCTCACGTAAAGCTACTCCCAAAGCGCTAACGAGGCGCAACACAAAAGGAAACAAAACAAAAAAGGGACAAAGTTAAAAGGCAGCAGCAGCGTCTCGGTGAGCCATACTTACGTACAGACGGCACTTTTGAATCCCAGCGGTGGCCATCTTGTGCGTCCCTGCAGTGGCCATCTTTTTGTTGTCTGAAGTTCGGGGGTTGGGTCTTACCTCGTCCTGACTGATATGTTTGTAATGGGGGAGGGGGGCGGGGGGTTTGGCTTGTTTTGGCGAGGTCATTGCGTGCTCTTTGTGGCTCGTTGGAGGTGTTCACTTAGGCTGACCCCGAGCTCCTGGCAGCGGTCCACCAGGCGGCGAAGGCGCTCTGTGCGGCCGCCCTCCGCCGCTTCGAACAACAGACGCTGAGAACGAGACGAGCAGCGAACACATTAAATATATATGGATTACTTAAAGCTCGAGAACATAACCACAACAGAAACGCTTTAAATGACTAGTTTCCACATGTATTTGGCCTTAGTCACATCTTTAGATCAGCTTTTTACAGACAGAAAAGTGGCAGGACCACCCTCACTCAGCCAATCAGCTCTCAACCCAAAGAGTCAAATAGTGACTCATAAAACTCTTTGACAGATGTTTAAGACTATTCTGGAAAGTCGATGTGTTATGAGACTAAAGTCAGGTACCTCAGCGATGAGTATTTCCTGGTTACTACTTATATTCTAAAAAGGGGTGGACAAACAGTTGTGAGCTGGTTAGCCGCGCTTCTAAGCTCATTCCAGTAAACAGCAGTGTTCAACTCTCCTGGTACCAAACACACCGTTTATGTCTATCGTACTGGGGACGCCACTGGGGTCAGTCTTGGGCCCAGTGCTGCTTACATGCCTTCGCCCCTTGTACAGCGTTAGGTGCTGGGGGCGTGGCTTTTCACCGTGTAGATAATAAAAAGATAATTACGTCTTTCCAGAGCGCGGCGCACAGCGGGAGGCGGCTCAGTGCCTGCTGGTACAAACGGCGAACCTGTAACACCAGACCACAACATGTTTGACAGCAGAGGGAGGGGTGGGAAGTGACTCGGGTCTAAACAACATGTTCTGTATTCAACAGGGATGTCAAACCTCCAAAGTGTGGCTGAAGGTTTTCATTACAACTAAGAGGAGCACATGTGTTATTTCAGTCTCCAGGATTATGCTCCAGTTAGTTGAAATGAAAACCTGCAGCCACACAGCCTTTAGCGCACTGGTTTGACCGTTGTACATGATGTTGGAGAATACACCACAAGCAAAATCCGTGAAGCAGCGAAAGTCACGTTAAGCACATCAGTCCATTCTTCAGGTTGAGTCCGTAGCCATACTGCATCAAGGAAAAGTGGCGAGCTAACCAGGAGTCAACATCAAATCCTCTGATCCCAGCCCAATATTAATGACATCCCTTTACTGTACTGTAGAGTATAAGCTGAACAACTCATAACAGTGGAAATGTGTGAGGTGAACAGCGCCTCCTGCTGGACTGACGCCTCACCTCAGACTTCTCCCGCAACTCCTTCTCTGCAGCAATGGCTCTGAAAAATAAAACTCACATCACAACAACATCACTTCAGCGTGAGACCAGCGTGAGACCAGCGTGAGACCAGCGTGAGACCAGCGTGAGACCAGCGTGAGACCAGCGTGAGACCAGCGTGAGACCAGCGTGAGACCAGCGTGAGACCAGCGTGAGACCAGCGTGAGACCAGCGTGAGACCAGCGTGAGACCAGCGTTAGACCAGCGTTAGACCAGCGTTAGACCAGCGTTAGACCAGCGTTAGACCAGCGTTAGACCAGCGTTAGACCAGCGTTAGACCAGCGTTAGACCAGCTACATACATTTTCCAGTTGGCGAGACACTTTGGGGCATGGCTGCGCAACATTCGCGACTGAAACTTGAGGTGCTGCAGGTTTCCCTCCTGCCACTCCTGGTGCAACAGCCTGGAACACATCAAACAAACATCTAAAGCGGGAGAACATCTCCCTCTGGCGGCAGACAAAGGATATTACAACGTCTGTGTGTGCTGTGTCCGTGTAGCTAAATACAACTACAGCTATGTTTGTGAGGAGGAAGGGGCCCAGCATCTTTACCTGAGGCCCAGCTCCGTGTTGTTGGGCATAGAGTATCTCAGTCTCTCCAGCACTAGTGCATGCTGGGACAGTGGTAGACAGCCCAGGTACAGGGACACCACCTGGAGGAGACATGAGGGTTAGTCAGTGAGAGCGAGAGACCAGAGAGAATACCAGAGTAGACTTAGTTCACAAGGACAACTTTATAAAGGAAAGAGCAGCACATGCTACAGCCCAAACTCTGATGGTGCTTTCAGACCGGATCATGCGTTGCGCCGGGTTTCAATGCAGAGTCAATGGTGACGCGCGTTCGACCGTCGCAACGCACGGACCTCTCGGCACGCACAAACGGACTGTTCAGTAGACATGGCGGGGAAGTCAAAGGGGAGGAGCAGGAGCGAAAAATTGACGCCCACAGGAGATGGATTCTGCTCATCCTTTCATTGGGACGTTTGTGCTAGCATAGCTCTGTTAGCATTAGAGCCGGCCGGCTACTTCGGGGTTCGCGTCAGGACGTTCTGGTGTGAAGTCCTCTGCGTCTGAAAACTAGAGAATGCGCGTCTGGTGAGCGGGGCTTCAGCGTTCAGCGTTGCCAGTCTGAAAGCACCATGACAGTGAGAGTTTCACTCACCCAAACACGGCTCGTGTATAGTCCCTGGTGTGACTTTTGTGTATCGTCAGAGGGCGGTACCTGATTGTGAAACTTGTAGCAGCTCCAGAACTCTGCCTGGTTAAAGGGAACCTCAAGTCGAGAGGGGACCGTGCTGAGACAGCGCTGCACGAGGTCTGAGAAGAGCTTAGAGGAGGAGGAAGAGGGCTGAGAGCTGGTGAAGATGAGGTAGCTGTGGACAGAGACATGAGTGAGGACAGCACATGTGAGGCTTGAAATACAGATGTGGCACCACTCCATCCACAGAGAGAGCGAAAGAGTAGAGAGAGAGAGAGACCAGAGAGAACCAGTGAAGGATAGTGTTGTGTGTTGTTGGACTGACTCCATCCACAGTGTGTGCAGTTCGTCTCGCTGAAGAGGAGCTCCCAGAGCGCGCTCAAACGCCTCCACCGTGTCCTGAGGCGAACCATGAAGCCACTGCCAGCGGCTGCAGACAAGACAAAGGTCAACCACATGTACCTCTCAATCTGCTTCAGTCGTGTCCAGTCAAACAGCTCCTTTATCTGCGTCCTGTGTGACTGACCAGTGCAGTAGATGCAGGAATGACGTCTGCGACACCAGCTGCTCCCGGAGGTCCTTTTTAATGATGGGTTCCTTCAACAGCTGGTCACAGGGGAAGCCCAGGATGTGCCTGAACCAAAACACACACACACTCAAAATGAGCAACGCACACTTGGGAGGTGGAGTGGAGTGACAGAAACATACCGCAGAACTTCTACAGGGTTCTTCTGGCCATCCTCATCCTCACACAGCGACAGGATGAAGCCCCGGAACAGAGGAGGGAGAGCGCTGGACTTATCCTGGGAACAGAACTCAGGTCAGGAGGGGAGGGGACAGGTCAGAAGACACAGACAGGACTCTCCACAGCTCCGTGAAATATAATAACACGAGAACCTGGTGGGACTGTACCTGGGACATGAGGAACTTGCAGGAGTGGTAGAAGACCTCTGCATTGTCAGGACACTCCACCAGCGCATGTAGCCACATGCTAACCGCGGTGTTGGCGTCTCCTTTTGTGATGTGCAGCTCAGCTAACACGTCCCGGAGGACACACGAGTCGGGACAGCACTGCAGAAGCGCCTCACACAGGAGGACAGCCTCATCCAGTCTGAAGACAGCAAGGACGTAATTTTGTTTTAATGACTTTATTTGAATAGGGACAGTACACATTAATCAAATTAGTTTTCAACAGTATTCCCTAAGCAAGGTGTGATGCAAGTGTGTGTGTGTGTCTGTCTCACCTCCCCAGGACCTTGTGCAGGTGCAGCAGGTTGGTGTGCAGAGGTAAACAGGCCACAGTCCTCTCATTTAGAGACAGAGAGACATCAGTGCTCTGAGAGATACCGTCTACAACATAGCATTAGAGGATCATTAGAGAGTAGTAGAGATCATTAGAGATCACATGAAATCACACGCAGTTTGTCCCTTAGACGGATCTTGAGAGCATTTGCTTTCATGTTAAACATTTCTACTGAACAGTTGTAATCCTGAACGTTTTATTAGGGCTTAAAATGAACGAGTAGAGAGGTCTCCCATCACAGCAAGAGCCAGGCTCTGCTCAGCTCAGTTTCACCTTGGAACATGCGGAGCAGTGTCTCCAGCGGCGTGCAGATGTCCTGGGCTTGTCTCCACGGCAACAGGAAGCTCTCGCGGCTCACCAGTCGGCTCGGCCCCGATTCGGCGGCGTCGTACAAGGAGGAGGGCAGGCGCTGGAACTCGGACAAGTGGATGAAGCAGAGCCAGAGCAGCGAGCGGTCTGCAGCAGTCAGCAGCTCACGCACAAAATCACTCTTCAGAGAATCCTGCAGCAGACACGTGCACAAGTACTGGTTATCATCATGTTAAAGTGATTGTCCGGAGTTTGTCAGAAAGAGAGACAGAGAGGTACTTGATTTGAAAAAAACGACGCAAGCTCCCTCCCCCTTCCTTTCTGATTGGTCTACACCTACGTTTCCGTAACACTTATCAGAGAACACATTATACATATACATTATTAATACACATGCACGGAGATTTTCAGAATTATTTGTGAACGTTTTAATGAAAAAAAATAATGTTTTTATGCACACAAAAAAGCGATTGCGGCAAACCAGGAAGTGCTATTATCATGAATTGCACATTATAGGACACATCTGCAGAGGATCTGATTATGGATATAGGTTCAGTATATACATAAGTACCTCAGTGCGGATGTTCAGAATTCTTTGTTCAGTTTTCATGTAGTTCCAGAGCCTAATAGAGGCTTGATTCGGAGGCTCCGCGAAAACAAACAACTGAGCATGCGCGCAGCTGCGAGCATCAGCGGCGATGATTGACGGCTCTTGGCATGACTCGATTGGTTAACCTCGACGGCACCGTGGATTCTGAACTATAGCTAAGAGCAGGGAAGGCGGGACTTGCCCGTAATATTATAATTAATAAAATGACTTATTTTATATCAACATTTAAGGCCAGGAGGTCAATTTAACACATTTCCTAAAATTTGTAATTAATTTAGAGTTACAGACTATCACTTTAACGTGCAGCATTACTCTTCCAACAAACTATTTTGCCATTTTTCAAGTTTCTGTTTTAGCTGTAATCAAAAGGGTAAAAACCTTGTTAAGTACTTAAGTTTAATAAAACTAGTGGAAAACAAACTATTGGCCTCTCCTCCCTCTCTCTCTGGCCTCTCCTCCCTCTCTCTCTCTGGCTTCTCCTCCCTCTCTCTCTCTGGCCTCTCCTCCCTCTCTCTCTCTGGCCTCTCCTCCCTCTCTCTCTCTGGCCTCTCCTCCCTCTCTCTCTCTGGCCTCTCCTCCCTCTCTCTCTCTGGCCTCTCCTCCCTCTCTCTCTCTGGCCTCTCCTCCCTCTCTCTCTCTGGCCTCTCCTCCCTCTCCCTCTCTCTGGCCTCTCCTCCCTCTCCCTCTCTCTGGCCTCTCCTCCCTCTCTCTCTCTCTCTGGCCTCTCCTCCCTCTCTCTCTCTCTCTGGCCTCTCCTCCCTCTCTCTCTTGCCTCTCCCCTCTGTGGCCTCACCTGCAGAATGGTGTGTGCGTTGTCGGCGCGGCCGCTGAACGCACTAAGCTGCACGCGGTAGAGCAGCGCCTCCAGGATGTGGAAGGACAGTTTCTCGGAGTGTCCAGCAGGGGGCACCTCCGATATCAGGAACTGCAGCAGGCGCTCAGATACAGAGTCTTTCCCCTCGAATGAGTGTTCCAGGGACAAGTACTGAGGACAGAGACCAAGGACAAACAAGAATTGATGACAAAGAAAGAGGACAGAGCCAGAATCAGGTCGTCTCCCTCCCTCAGGACCAGGACACTTACGGTCCACCAGACACAGTGGTGTGGTGCGTGCTCCACTGCCATCTCGCACATCTCCTGCACCTCTCCACAGCTCCCCCTCCTGGAGAACAGCGACAGGTACTGGCTCCACACCTCCGGGTTTTCACAATTATTCTCCAGAGCGCGGGACAGAGTGTTCAGTGCGGCCTCCAGGCATTCTGCGGGAGAGCTGCACAGAGACACAGGTCAGAACCATGGATCTATTATAATATCTGGATAGGGTACTACTAGTTTATAGCTGTCCCACCCATGGGCACAGGGGGCACCCCTGGAACTGTAGACTAAATTCACATGGGTTACCCAGAAAAAAGACCCAAAGAACTCAATGTAAATTAAAACAGCTCGACCTCAGCTGACAGAGGACATACAGCTTTCATAAAAGTCTGATTTTGTGGGGATATTAGTGTCCCTTTTTCATGTAAATCCTTCAGTTTTCTTTAAATCCTCACTTTAAAGCAACAAAATGCTTGCCTTCTTCCAGCTCTGGCTTCGCTCTGCTCAGCAGCTCTGATTGGTCAGAGCGGGGCCGAGGCCCTCTGTATTGAAGGCCCTGTACAGTCACACTCTGAAGCTTTGGGGCTCACCTCTCGGGCTGGTTCAGGTACTTGAATGCCAGTTTGAGCCACAGCTGAGTGTCGCATGGACTTTCCAAAACACTCGTCTCCAGGTTCGAGATGTCGTCTGTTTCACTGAAGAAGTAACGTTTGTCGTCCGAGGTCACGCAGACGTCAGACTGGCCCAGGCCAGTGCTGCCATCTGCGGGAGACAGGAATTAAACCACTGATTCAAACTTTCACCCCACAACACCACACCGAACTAGCATTGGGTTCTAAAACAGTCACATCTTTAGATCAGCTTTTTCATACAGGAAAGTGAAAAAGACCAGAGAGAGAGAGTGACCAATGTGATAACAGAGAATGAAAAACCAGGGAGAAACCAGAGAGACCAGGGAGAGGAGAGACCAATCAGCTCTCAGCCCCAAGACTCAAACAGTGACACACAGGGCTCTTTCTGTGAATCTATGTTTAGTATTAGGCGTGATGTGCACTGTACCGTATTTGCTGTGTGGCGCGGAGTCCTCTGGCTCCTCGCTGTCACTGCTTTCCTCTGAGTCGGCGGCAGACGGAGCGCTCGGCTTCGGTTTCCACTTGCGCAGCTCTTTGAAGGTGGTGTAAGGAGGGGCTGCGGGGAGAGAGCGCAGCGGTCAGACAAGCACCATCAGCAGTCAACTTCAGCAGCTCCTGTGGTCACTTACTGTGGCGTTTGCTCTCGTTGACTTTGCTCACCAGCAACACAGCTTTCTGATCAATGCTCATGCGGTTATTGGAACCAAAAAGCCTCTTAATGTATTTTTCTGTCAAAAGAAAAGGAGAAACTTTAGAAGGAGAAGTGGATGTGATGCTGTGTGTCCGTCTCACCTGTTGCCACGCTGATCTCTCGGTCCGAGTTGTCGCCAGTGCAGTTGATCAGAGACAGGTCGTACGAAAGCACGTCCTGAAACAGCCGAGTTCCAGAGAGCGTCACGTTGCGCATGTGCTGCCTGAAAACACATAATAGAACACAACTCAGAGGTCACATTCCCACTGCGTAAAAATACTGGACAAAAAATAAAGCGAGACCAGAGAGCAAGCCATTAAGCCACCAGGCCAAAGAGTCAAATAATGACTAGGGTGTAGGGGGGGGGGGGGGGGGGGGGGGGGGTGACGATATATCGCGATACTTTCTCCCGTGATTCCATTATCGATATGCATTTGCCAAGTATCAATATTTTTTTTTTTTACAAATTATTTTTTTAAATTGGTATCAATACTTAATATATGGCTAGATTATTTCATGATAAATGGAATGGAGATGCGTAAAGTGTATTTTTTATTTATGCCATAAATTGGCATATTGTATATTTCTGACCAATATATCGATAATCGTCATATCGTGATAAAATAGTTATCGTGATATCGTTTTCGTGATATCGTTATTGTGAGCTTTGTATCGTGTATCGTATCATGAGGTACCCTTAGGTTCCCACCCCTACTTAGAAGTATATATGGTAAATACTAAACACAGTATGTTTAGTGTTTGTGAAAGGTACACAAACGTAGAATGTTTTTGATAGGTTTGTGCAGGTGACTGTCTCACCATCGGCAGCCGTCGTCGTTGCAGGTCCCTGTGAGGTCAAAGCGACAGAAGTGTTTTTTGGGCTCGATCGTGTTGCTGTACGTCACGGAGCTCAGAGACAGCTTCTCCTTTGTCCGATAGTAAGGACTGAACCTGCAGAAAACACAAACGCGACAGACAACCATAAAAGGTCTGAACCTGCAGAAAACACACAAATGTAAAACATAAAAGGACTGAACTTCCCCTCTCACCTGTAAGACTTGAAGGCCAGCAGAGGGCTGCGATAGGCTTCGTAGGGAACCGGCCTCAGGTCAGACATCAGCTGGACTGAGGAGGCGTCCAGCTCAAACGCAGGCACCTGAAACACAGCACAACCAGAAAGTCAAGAGTCCATAGGATCACTCTGAGGTAGTGCAGACCTCTGCATTTAATCCATCCTGCCAAAGCTGCTGTGGTCTCTGTACCTGTGGTCTCTGTACCTGTGGTCTCTGTACCTGTGGTCTCTGTACCTGTGGTCTCTGTACCTGTGGTCTCTGTACCTGTGGTCTCTGTACCTGTGGTCTCTGTACCTGTGGTCTCTGTAACTGAGCTGTAGGTGTGGTCTTCAGGTCCTGCCCAGTCTTCTCCAGCTCGGTCTTCAGCAGTTCCCCGAGCTGCGGCTGCTGTTCGTATCTCTGCTTCAGTGTGTCCACGTCCAGCCCCGCAAACACCTCGGTCTCTGCAGCGTTCCCAGAGTCGCTGGCGGTCTTGGCTTGCCTGGGCGTGTCTTTCCCTGGAGTGGACTCCAGATGGGGCTTTGTGAAGGAGGTGGACTGACGTAGCGAGTGCCGGCGCTGGCCTTTTATTGCCGCGCTCTGCTGCGTGCTCTCCGACTCCTCCGGCGTTTCGTCCTCGGCGTCCAGCGTGAGCTTGTCTTGCGTCAGGTCGTGTAGCGAGGGCTGGGAGACGGGGAAGGGGCTGACAGGCTTCTGCAGAGGGGGGTTAGGAGCTTCTCGCAGCGCGGGGGGCTGGACTGGAGCATCCGTCTGTGCGGGTTTGTTGCGTAAAGCCTGGGCCTCTTTCAGCCTCTGGATCTTGAGCGCGTACTCTGACTCGAGCCGCTGCAGCCGCTGCTTCTGCGCCATGAGCTCGGCGAAATGACGCTCAGCTCCGTCTAGACGCTGCAGCTTATTGGGCTGAAAAAGACCAAGGAGCAGGATTATGGCGAGGCAACTGCTTTCAATGAGGTAATTATTAACTACATCAAACAAATAGACTCAAGCTATAGACTGGTTACAGATGGACAATGCAAACAGTCTGTATACAGATGCCCATATAAGGAAATTGGTGCCAGCTTGCTTATGTTCAAATCAACCTTTTTTCCATTAAAGCTGCACTAACTCACTTTGTGAAATTTTCGAATGTAAGCGCTGGCCTTTCATAATGAATACAATGAGGTAATGCAGCTTTAAGGCTAACACTATGGTGATGTCACACACTATCAGTCATTTACATTCTATGGCTCTAACATATTGTCTACTCTGTTACAAGGAAATAGACAGGTTTGGTCCAGTTTGTCACATACAAACCATACACTTCTCTTCCTTGATGGAGAGTGTTTCTTCTAGCCCTGTACAATCAGTACCAGGTCCTTGTTTAGTCCCTCATGGCCTTAGTTCTATATCCAGGCTGAGCAGGTACTTAAGTGTTGTAACTGCCAGTGATTGTAATCATGGCTTCTAGCAGCACTCTGACAAAAGAAATATCCCTGAATACTTATTTGTTGTGGGTAGGTTGCTAGGATCCGGTACCAGACACTAAAGCATAGAGTAGAGTACACTAGAAAAGGGGTCTGAAGCCACAGTGGTGTTCTGACCAAAGACTGGTTGGAGTCCAGCCTCCTCTTGAGTCCTTTGGTCTGGGTCTGTGTCTGGGCCTGAGACTGGGCCTGGACCAGCTGCTTCTCCAGGCTGACCTCCATGCTCTTCTTCAGGGACACTCTGTGCTCCACACGCTGCACCTAAAGGGAGCAAGATCAATGTTAACTAAACATATTTACATAATGTACTGTAGGGCTGAGCAACATGAACAAAAATCACATGATATGAGAAGAAAATACCACAATATCTCTGACCTGTTCCTGGAGCCTCAGCAGGAGATCTAACCCACCATAACCCTGTTCAGAAGATGTTCTCTGACCTGTTCCTGGAGCCTCCTCAGCAGCGTGCGGTTGGCCTGGGCAATCTTCTCTGAGGCCTGCAGCTGCTCTTTCAGCTTGCCCACTTTGGCCTCTGACGTTCGGAGGTTCTCCCTCTTCTTCAGCTCCTGTTGGAGCAGATGTCTGAGCATGGCCTCGTCCTTCTGCAGCAGCTCCCTGTGAGACACGAGGAAAGACCAGGTTAGGACGATCCGGGAATAGGAGTCCCAGCGATCTAGACTATTTTGACCATGTTTGGAGATCTAGTCTCTGGTCTAGCTACAGCCAAATGTAATACTTTAAATAATTATAATTAGAAACATGAGATTGAGAAGAGATATGCTTGTCATTTATGAAACCGATATGAGATACAGATTTATAAACAAAAATAAATTAAAGCTGAGGTATGGAATTTTTTCAGCTTTGTCCAAAAGTTTTGGAAAGTAAAAATGTTGTGGCCACAACATGCCATCTTTGTTTTATTGAGTAATAAAGAGCTCTGTGAGTCACTATTTGACTCTAGTCCCTTTCACTTTTCTGATCTAAAGATGTGACAGATGCCAAGAACACATACTTGTGAAAAGTAGTTATAGAAGAAACGTTTGATTTTATGACAGAGTTGTAGTTTGAAAGTTACGGCCCTCAGATTTATCCGAGAGCCTGTGACGATTGTGTGTCTAACCTGTGCTTGGCCAGTCGCTGCTCCGCCTCCATCAGCTGCATTTCTGCTGATGCTTTGGTCAGAGCTTCAGTCGCTGCATCAGACTGAGGCCCAGAGCTCCACGGAGTCAGCGCCTTCTGCTTCTCTCGACTGGAAACACATTAGGACCATTAAGCGAACGCGCGCGCACACACACACACACACACTAGTGCCATTTCTCTACAGCTGTTCCACATGTAGCCTGAATCTCATGCGTACCTAACTGACAAACCTGGTTCTTATATGTTGGGTCTCATCTTTTGGTCTTTGTTACCTGGCAATCTGCTCCTTCAGAAGCCGGTACTCCTTCTTCTTTGCTTCGGGCAGAGCTTCAGGCGTCCTCATGGGGTGGTTCTCCTTCTCACTCGCCCCTTTGGGCTTCGCGGCCTGAAAACACAAGGTCCGCACTAAAAACGGTTTCTTTAAAAAAAGAAACCAGAGAGAGAGTGGGATAAAGAGAAAAGAGACAAGAGAGGGAGAGCGACCAGAGGAACAGTGTTGCAACATGGAGAAAAGAGAAAAATGTAGGGCTGCACGATATTGTTTAGTGTTTAGGATTGCAATAACAATATTATCGCAATTTTTTTTTACCTAAAAAATAGAACAGAAACATACAATCATTTTCTGTAGAATTTTTTTTTTCTTTTAATCGCTTCTTTTAAACAAATAATGTTTCTGCTAGTAAATCAAAGTACAAATTTTTATGAAATAAAATTTTACTCCCAAATGAAATAATCTATATTTTTATCTGCTCAGGTCAGTAAACTGTTGAAGACATTTTTTTCTGAACAGTTTTGCATTATTATAGTATAGTTTATTATGTGGTATAGTATAATATAGTTTTATTGTATTAACAACTGACATTTAGCCAAATCAGTTACAAAATAGGTTTTAAACATATTTTCATAGATATTTTTTAAGTTTTTAACTACATTTAAAACTTATTACAATATTTGCTTAGCTTTTATCAAAAAGAATATACTATGAATTAGAGTGTAGTTAACTAATCAATCGATCTGGTTTTAGCACACCTTAAAGTAAATCAATTTAACATTAAAGGAGCAATATGTAATGTTTGCATGTCAAGTCATAATTAAATGACCCAAATATTTCAAAAGGGGTTATTAAATCATACTCTTTTCGAATTCATCTTTAACTGATAACAGTAGTTCAGCCGAGATATTTGATTATCAAAATTAGTTTTACTAGTTTGACTCCGTTCTTCACAGTGACTCTAACTGTGTGAATCGGTGGTCTAGTGGTCTAAACTGCGCTCTTACGATGCAGGAACTCGGGTTCGATCCCGGGCTATGTCTTTTTGTATTTATTGCATGTTATCACATTCTATGACAGATTGCTCTAAAAACAGTAAAAGACGAAGGTCAAGACGTTTTTTTGCAGATTATAGCTTAATTGTAAAAATAATCATTTAAGACCACATGTACCCCAATTAAAATAATTTTAGTCTCTTTTTGATGTGGGACTTTTACATGTTTGTCTAAAAAATAGGGAATAAATAAAATTGAAAGGTGATATCCTCTTGAGCAAACCCTGATGTTGATACGCTGAAGAAATACGTTCCAACATCCATTCTTCCCACTCCTATTTTGGACATCAATTGCTTATGTATTTTGCATAAACTATGTATAATTACATTGCTTTTATTTTGTTTTTGTTTTTTATCTCAAATGTCTAAATAATAATAATAAAAAAACATTAATCAAAACATTCATTCAGCATTAGCACGGCTGTCATGGCAATGTGAATGGAGACGGACAAACAACTGATAAAATAATTCCCTGTGTTTGCTGCTGGATTTGGTGTGAATCTGGCAACCTGAGTCAGGGAGAGGACTACAAAATATTGACTGTTACTGCAGTACCACTTTTGGCCAGATTTTTACATATTGTTCCTTTAAGTAATGAACTTAGGAACATGATTGCTAACTACATTTTTTAACACATGATCAGGTTTTAATTCAGTTTTTAACTTAATATTTTTAACATAAAGGCGAATATAATTGATTACTAGTGAATTAATAATATTAAACTAACAATCAATTAACCCTGATTTGTTCCTGGAGTTATGTTTTGGATACATCCTAAACACAGTAAAACGTTTATAAACAATCAGAACAAAATAAATGTTAAAGAGTCCGCGTTTCCGCTACTTCAGAGGGCTCTCAGTCAACGATCGCGAGTGATGACGGCGCTTACCGGCTGTTTTTCATGGGAACGTAGAAGGGTTTGTCTTGCACAGCACTGATTGTGCGATCGCTGCTTGTCCAGCTCGAACTCATGCTGAAGTGTTTGTGTCCGTCCTTTTTAACAATCTATATACTTTTTTTGTTTGTTTGTTGTTCTTGATGAATGTTGATGTGGCTGTCTGTTTTGTTGTCTTTAAATAAAGGAAGCAAAAAAAGTAAAAAAAGTAAAAAAAAATATGCGGATATTTTTGATATGAATATTGCACGCACCAATATTGCGATAACAATATTTTTTTGATATATCGCGCAGCCCTAGAAAAATGTGTGAGATTGTGATCCTACTTTTGTCGGTTACCTCAAAGAGAGACCAGAGAGAGACCACAGAGAGAGACCAGAGAGAGACCACAGAGAGAGACCAGAGAGAGACCAGAGAGAGACCAGAGAGAGACCAGAGAGAGACCAGAGAGAGACCAGAGAGAGACCAGAGAGAGACCACAGAGACCAGAGAGAGACCACAGAGAGAGACCAGAGAGAGACCAGAGAGAGACCAGAGAGAGACCAGAGAGAGACCAGAGAGAGACCAGAGAGAGACCAGAGAGAGACCAGAGAGAGAGTGTTGCAACATGGAGAAAAGAGAAAAATGTGTGTGATTGTGGGTCTGACCTCCACGGTTCGTCTCGCCTCGCGGATCATGAACTCCAGTCCTCCGAACACACTGGGGGCAGTAGAGTCCACATCGCTGTCGCTGTCGTCAGAGTCGTTCAGAGAAACCACCACAGTTTTGTGACGAGGCAACTGTGGAGAGGAGGAGATCAACCTCACAATTCAGAGAGAGACCAGAGACAGAAACCAGAGAGAGTGTGTATGTGTGAGTTGTGAGCGGGTCGGCTAACGGAACACTTCTATAGCCAGACTCACCACAAGGGGCGCTCTGCTGTGGGGGCCCCGGCTGTTGAACTTCCTGGAGGGAGGGGGGACAGTGTTGAGGCTCACTGTGCTCAGGTTTCCTCTGAGGGACGAGCGCTGAGGGGACGAGGAGGCGCTGGAAGACTTCTCCTGCAGAAAGGAGACAAGACAAGGAGATTTAGAGAGACCAGGAAGAGCCCAGGGAGAGACCAGCTTGGGGGCCACATTTACCTCAAGGGGGGTCTCTCTCTTGTGGGCCATAGACATCAGGCAGGTCTCTCGCAGCAGCATCTCCTCCTCCTCTTCCTCGTCAGCGAAGGGCGGTTTGGGGGGAAGCTCCAGCTCATCAGGGGGAGGCAGAGGGGGTGGAGGGGGAGGGGCCACAAACACCTGACCGTAGTCCTGCAGAGAGATCCATGGTTTAGACTAGAGTCCGGAGTCTAGTGCAGAGAGTGTGTATGATTATTGTAACCGTTTGAAGTTCAAAAAGTGGTCTGTACCGTTCCAAAGTGAGCCTCTGTCAGGAACAGTGTCTGGGGGAAGACAGCGTCTGCTCCAGGGAACGGGTGAGTGGGAGAGGGAGCTGGGGGAGACAGAACAGAGGGGGTAAGTTTAAAACAGGACAGACAGGTGGACAAAAGGAGACAGGGGCCACTCACCGGGAGAACCGGGCTCGCTATCCGTATCCATAGCAACCTCGTCGTAGTTGTCATATTGGTACAGGTTTCCCGAAGTGTCCAGACCGGATTTCCCTGTGGATTTACGGTGCTCGCGATCTCTGGCCTGTGAAGGAGAGACGACAGCTCTAAAGCGGCTCTATCTGCTTTCCTTCAGTCTCAGTCTTCCCTTGAGCCATCCTCGGGTCAAAATTTGACAATTGTTCATAATTTGACCAGCCCTGGGTCAAGTTATCTACTGTCATTTTGACCCGAGGATAGCACAAGGGTTAGAACAGCTCTTCTATCCGCTTTTTTTTGGGCATGGCCTCTTACCTTGCTGGGGGTGTGGCTCTTCCCGCCCACCAGCTTCATAAAGCGGTTGTATTGCTCGTCCTGATTGGACAGGTCCCTGATTCTCCGGATCTCTTCCTCCCTCTTCCTGCGCTCCTCTTCTTCATAGCGTCTCTTTGCCGCTTCCTCTTCTCGTTGTTGCTTCATTTTCCAGTTTCTCAACTGCTGCCGACGAGCTGCTTGTTTGGCCGCTGCACACACAAAACAGTGAGAAGGACGCGCACAGATGCGCACAGACAAGCACAGACAAGCGCACAGACAAGCACAGACAAGCACAGACAAGCGCACAGACAAGCGCACAGACAAGCACAGACAAGCGCACAGACAAGCGCACAGACAAGCGCACAGACAAGCGCACAGACAAGCACAGACAAGCGCACAGACAAGCGCACAGACAAGCGCACAGACAAGCGCACAGACAAGCGCACAGACAAGCGCACAGACAAGCGCACAGACAAGCGCACAGACAAGCGCACAGACAAGCACAGACAAGCGCACACTCACAGGGGCTGATCCTGCTGCCACTGTATGCTCTGCTCTGGAGGGTCCGGACCCCAGGTCTCGGCCCAGGTTTGGGACTGGGCTTCGGTGTGGATTTAGATCCTGGTTTAGGACTGGCTTTAGGTGCAGCTTTAGGACTCTGCTTGGGCCGTTCTCGTTCAGGTCCTGAGGTCCTGCTGAGGTCTCTGTCTGTAGACCGGGTTCCTGGTCTGGGCCGATCTCCATCCTGAGAGCATATGAACACATTACGCTAAAAAGCCGGATTATATTCAGAGTTGGTCCCACACAGGTCTGACCCCTCTGATCCAATGCAGACCAAAGAGAGACCAGAGACACAGAATGAGAGAGACCCTGTACCTGGGAGCTGGTCCTGCTGCGTGTGCGCTCAGCAGGAGGCGTGGAGGAGCGTGTGGTGGATGATCGTGTGGCCACTCTCGCCCTCATGGAGGGCGCGGTACCAGGCCCTGAGCTGGCGGGGGCGTTCTTCTCCTGTGGGGGCTTAGTCACTCGCTCTTTGCTCTTCTTCATCACCTGCTGCTCTTTCTGGTGCCACTTCTTACTGGCCGACTGCAGGGCCAGCAACCGCAGCTCCAGCTCGGACAGCTCCTCCTGCTCCACTCGGGGCTGAGGAAGATGGGAACATGGTTATAAATGCTGTTTTCCTCCTGTGTTTGAAAAATAAACTATATGAGGAGTGGACTGGCTGAATGTGACATCGCCAGTCTTAGGCTTAATACGGAATAATGTAAACAACAGGATCACGGAAACCAAGCGGGTTAGCAGTGTCTATCTATATACGGTGTATGGTTTGCACCTTGTCCGTGGAGAGGTTGGAATCGACACTGGACACGGAGGACTCTCTGGTCTCGCTCTTCAGGTCCTTGGTCTGGTCCTGGTCCGGCTTTTCTCCACAGCAGACACAGGAGACCGGAGCTGCAGCCGTCTCCCCTGGCGCTGGTTTGGATGCGTTCATTTGACTTTCACTTTCAGACTCGCTGGTGCAGCAGACACACTTGTCCTTCGGCTGAGAGCTTTGTGCTTCAGTCTCCAGGATGGTCACCTCTTCACCTGTAAACACGGCCAAGAGTTAAAACAGCTCTATCGGCAATAAAAAAATAACAATAAAAACATTAAAAATAAGAAAAAGTACATAACTATAAAAAATCTATCGGATTCCTGCAGTCACTTATAACAGTCACTCTTCATTTTAAGCTTTATTTGATTTTGCAAGGTAACATACATTCAACAAACAAACAAACAAGAATATGTGTAGATATATTTTAAGGGATACAGCAGATTGTGTGTGTGTGTGTGCGTGCGTGTGTGTGCGGGACATCACATTGTGCAACATTATTATTATTATGTGGACTAAAAACAAAACAAAACGGACAGATAATAAGCATAGTACTAGATGAATAATGGCAATTTTTAACCTATAGGTAGATAAGACATGGGATAAATTGCAGTAAAGGAATAGTACCATAGTAAATGCATAGTGAGACAAGTAATAATAATAATAACTCTTCTTTTTGCTCACCCTCCTTGTCCGTGTCCGTGGCCTCTGCTTGCTCCGCCCACTTCTTCTTCAGCTCGTCCAGATTGGCTGGTGCTTTTGGTTTCAGTGGTTTGATGTTGAAGGCTTGGAACACCTTGACACTTTGCTCTTCTTCGGATGGTGCTGGTTCTTCGGTGCTAGCGGGTTGCTCTGGTGGTGGTGGTTCGGGAGCAGGAGCAGCAGGTTTGGGCTCCAAGGCCATGGTCTCCTCCTTGCGGATGCACTCCAGTTCCAGCTGGATCTGTTTGTACCGCAATAGAAGATCCTCAAAGGACTCGTCATTACTGCTTTCTGGTTTGGCAGCGAGATAAATCGGTTTACGAGGTTGGTTTCTGCCCATTGGCTTTGCTGTGGTGCGGCGGTTAAGAACTTAACTGTTCAGTGTATACAGTATGTGATGGTATATGGACAGTTTGGTACAAAGAGTCAAAGAGTGACTCACAGGGCTCCATTAAGAAGTGTCATTTATGAGACAAAAGTTAGAAATGACTAATTAACACGCTACACTGCTTTTATAATTGTACATCTAACATGGTGCGATGGAAGTGAACGCACACATTCAGGGGCAAAACATGTTGATGGTGGAAGTTCCTGATGGCGTTAGAGCCTGCTCCCAAACACGTGCCAGGTCTATTCAGCCTCTGAGGATTTTTTAAGCTTGTCGCCATTTTGTGCCTTAAAGACCTGGCATGCAACAGCACTTTCAACCGAGTGTCATCACCGCATGATTTGTGCTGCTCGATGCAGGGGGCGTTTGAGTTTTCTTAAGTCTATTTATATGAATGGGAAAGAGGCCCTAAGTCCATAGCGTTTAATCATTAGTCTCTCAGTTCAAGGATACGTTTCCTGGAGGGCGAGTCATTCTTGCTGTGGTTCTCCCCTGGTCCGTAGCGCTGTGGTCGGCCGCCCTCGCGTCTCCAGTCCACTCCTCTTCCTCCTCCTCTTCCTCCTCGGCCGTGTCTGAAGCGACCCAGAGCACAGTGGGAGCGCTCCCAGAAAGTGGACCTATGCTCTGACAGAAAAGACACACACACATTATTACTTTAGTGAGTGGATTATCCCTGGTGTGACTTCTGTGTAGTGTTAGAGCCTTCATCCCCTGAGCTGCATGTGAACAGCAGACTAGACAACAGTTGAGGCTGTTGTCCTCCCTCCCCAGTCTTGTTGTACCGTGGCCTGGAGTCAGTGGGGACACAGGTCGCTCTGGTCCGCTGGGTCCACACTGCTGCTGCCGGTGTCCCAGAGGAAAAGGCCCTCTAGACACAGCGTGAGGGAAGGAAATCATGGGCCGGAAGTCTGGAGACAGAGATGTGATTATTTTAATTACCTTTTTTTAATCAGCATTGCATTATAATGATAAAAAGCGATGTAAATAGCAGAGAGGGAGATCAGAGAGGGGGACACCAGAAAGGAGTAGTTCATAGGGCATTGGTCTTTTCAAATGTTTTTTTTTCCCGTATTTCTGTACTGTCACGGATACAAAATATGACCATCAGGAAAAGTCCACAGCCGTCTGACAGCACTCCTTTTAAAATTTCGTGCTTTGGTCGACTAGTCGTGATTATGTGTAAAAACAGGCCCACATTTTGTCGGGTTGTCACACATATAATCTGTGTATTTTTAGTGTAAAAACATCTCCTTTAGTCCCCTCATGTCTGTCCTGTCCCAGGCTGTCTCCGCAGCCCACCTCGTTCCATCAGAGGCGTGATGTTCGCCTTCCGATGGTCCGGTTTCTCCCCCGGGGCTCGGTGGTTGTCTCCGCGGGCGTACGGTGCCCTCTCCTCGGTTTCATCATCGCAGATCTCCCCGTCCTCCAACTCCTCCTCCGGTTCTTTCACCGCCTTCACGTCCATACCGTCACAATCACCACGCTTACGCTACTGTCGAAGTGGGCAATCAACGACTGTTTAAGTTTAAATTCATGTTGGAGACAAATGGTCCACACCAGCGCTAAAGCTAAAGGCTAATGCTAATGCTAATGATTATCATGCGAGATGTGACACGTCAGCAACGCGAGACTTGAGGATCTCTCCCACGGAAATAAATAGTTTTAAACAAAATAAACAAGCTAATACCGCTAATAACAGAACAAATTATGAAGTACATGAAATTTGGAAATCTGTACAAAAATAAAAACTCTGTTCTGTCTCTGGTTTTTCTCGCTCTGATCTCCCTCTTTGGTCTCTCTCTAGTCCCTCTCTCTGGTTCTCTTCTCTCTTTGTGACTTTTTAAACCAGATTATTGTATTTACCGGTTAAATTAAGTCGAAAAGAAACATGTTGAAAGTAGAAATCATTTAAGGTGGCTTCAGAGATTGTTTATCAAGTTTGAAATAATATAAATACTACAGTTTTTTGTTTGGAAATATAGAATATTTGAGGTGATAAAAATGAAGCGATGTATTTGTCGTACTCCGCGCCTGCGCAGTGAGTTCCGAACTGTTGTTTTGGAACCTCACGTGAGTCTTGTCGTCACCAGTGTGAGGGGCCAACATGGCGTCGGAATCTCTTCATCAGGTCAGAAATTGTACAGAAAACACACAAGAACACCGCATAGACAGCTTCACACAGCTTTTACCCGTGGTGTCCTGGTTCACACGGCCGGGGCAGACCCATGGGACTCAGGTTCACTCGGCCCGGACCCTGTGTGTGGAAGTTTAAGGCTTGTTTAGCAGCGTTAGCCCCTGTTAGCTTAGCATCTGTCACCTGCTCAAAGTGCTGTCATCACACGCACACGCCTCCTCTCTCTGTATAAACTCTTTTTCTCTTCTAATGACACGATGTATGACCTCATTCACGAAACCCCTTGCCAAAACTCTTTTTGTTCTGTGAAATAGTGTAATTAGTTAGATGATATCCAAGCAGACTCAACCCTTTCCCTATAGCTGACTTTATAATGTGTGTCCTAGTGAACGGTCTTATGCACTGCATTCCCCATAGTTACTGTCTGTGTAAATGTCGCTGGTGAACGTAGATTCAATCTGAAAGTTGATCTGGTCTTTCTGTCCTCTTTATGGTTTCGCTCTTCCTCCGGTGACTCCCTGGTCCCTCTCTTTGGTCTGTCTTTCTCTGGTCTCTCTCTCCTGTGGATCTGAAAAAGAGTGACTTTTGGGTTTTAATGTAGCTGCTGAATATGAAAAACAATTTGAAAGTGAAGTTGGTACTGTACAAAATATCCTGTTTTTTCCTCCTGTCTCACACCGACGCATGTTTGTGCTTTTTAAGGTTTAGTTTTTTTGTACAACTTATTCATTTTCAATGCTGTCTTCTCAAAGTGTTCAGAGGGCCCTTTGTGGTTTTTTACATAATGTGGCGTCAAAGTGACCTGGTGACTTCCATTTTCTCTCTCTGTCTGGTCTCCATCTCTGGTCTCTCTCTTTGGTCTTTCTCTTGTCTCGCTCTCTGGTCTCTGTGTCTCTATGTCTGGACTTCCGTTTTTATTTAAATTTTTGGCAAAAAGTAAACTTGTAAACTACCCATCACCACGGGTCTCTCTCTCTGGCCACTCTCTCTGTGTTTTTTTCTCTGTGGTCTCTCTGGTCTCTCTCTCTCTCTCTGGTCTCTCTCTCTGGTCCAAAAATACATGCATTTTAAAAGAAGACAGAAGCTAACTGGTGACATGAGTTTTATTCTCTTCAGTTCTATAGCTGTGGTCTGAAGTTTCGCACCCCAGCTTTAGTCTTACACAAGCCTGTTTTTTTTGTAGGTGATATTTGAACATGACGGAGTGTTCATCCATCCAAGCAGCGAGGAGGAGGAGCTGGACCAGGACTTGTTGATCTCTGGGACCCTGCGCCTTATGGATAAGGTGAGGGTTTGGGTTGGGGGCCGTGGAGTCTGAGGTGGTTGTGGTTGTGGTTGTGAGGTGTGTATTGCTCATGTCTTCAGGATGCTGAGATGCTGGTGGAGTACAGGCCTCTGGAGGACACAGTGGACCCCACACATATGCTCTGTGCTGGAAAGGTCAGGAAATGTTTTATCTGAACTCAACTGTCCTGTGCGTCGCTCTCATTGGTCTTTCTCCCTCTCTGGTCTCCCTCTCTGGTCTCCCTCTCTGGTCTCCCTCTCTGGTCTCCCTCTCTGGTCTCCCTCTCTGGTCTCTCTCTCTGGTCTCTCTCTCTGGTCTCTCTCTCTGGTCTCTCTCACTGGTCTCTCCCTCTGGTCTCACTGGTCTGATCTGTTGGAACAGGATTCCAGCTCTGTGGTGCAGTGGGGCCAGACTTCAGGAGACCGAGTGTTGGAGACACAGCACAGCTATGAGACCGAGTGGGACATGATCAACGCAGTGAGCTTCAAGAAGAGACCCTGCTCCAACGGCTCCAGCGGCTCCAACGGAGAGGGTACGCACGCTCACACACTTCATGCAAGACTGTCCTGGAATTCACAGGAACTTAGTGAGACGAGAGAGAGTGAGGTCAGAGAGAGTGAGGCTGGAGAGTGAATCCGGAGAGAGGGTGAGATCGTAGAGGGAGAGAGGGTGAGACTAGAGAGGGTGAGACTAGAGAGGGTGAGACTGGAGAGGGAGAGGGTGAGACTGGAGAGGGAGAGAGTGAGACTGGAAAGGGAGAGAGGGGGAGACCGGAGAGGGAGAGTGAGACCGGAGAGACTTATGACCAGGGTCAAGAGAGGAATTTCTGGAGTTGATATTGAACATTTGGTGTTGTGTTGCCAGGTTCGCTCGCGCACAGTCAGGAGCGGAGCCGCTGGTTCTTCTCCTTCAGCCTCAGAGACCTGCGCTCTGTCACAGTAAAGCAGGAGGGGTGGAGCGTCCTGCTGTTTAAACTCCGAGACGGGTCCGCGTGTCTGCCCCCACTGCACTTCCACCATGGGGGGAGCGAGGGATTTGTGGAGGCGCTGCGGAGATACGCCCTGCTGTCGGAGTAAGTTTATACGGTTTATAATGTTTATACTGTAATGAGGAGATGCCATAGACTCTCTGGTCTGACTCTAGTCCCTCCCTCTCTCTGGTTTCCGTCTGGTCTCCCTTTGGTCTCCCTCTTTTCTCTCTCTCTAGTCTTTCTGGGCTCTCTCTTCCTCTCTCTCTGTTAGCCTTAATGCAGAAGAGAATGTTGCCAGCCTGTCCTGAAAAGTAGAATTCAGCGACGTGGTGGACTTAAATGTTGTTGCCTGTATTTCCTGATAGCGTAGATGGATCTAAAAACCACTTCAGTGTTATGGCATGGAGAAAAGAGAGACACTTTTTGCACATTACGTCTCCTTAACATCTTGGCTTCAGCTCCTCCTCCTCCTCCTCAAAGTCATTTAGATGCTAATGTTTGCTCTGCTCTGTGCTCAGGGAAACGCATATCTTATTACATTTCTTATCTCTGTCAATAATGAAAGCGTCCAAGTGCACAGGTCGCTCTTTTTTTATCACATGTGACAAAAGAGATGGGAAGATTCAGCAGGCGGTGACTCACAGATTACAGCCCAAACTCTTCTTCAGCTGCTGTCGCTGCTGACCACAGGGAACAAGCTTTCTCACAGCCAACTCAGACCTGAAAATCAGTGTTGTGCCAGTTCACAGCTTTGCTGAACTAGTTCAAGTTCAGTTCATACATGCTCAAAGTGAACAGTTCACGTTCAAAGTTCACAATTTTAATTCTAGTTCAAAGTTCAGTTCATTTTACTTTTTTCATGAGATATTCAAATATATACTTTTTTTCACACTACGAGCTAGAAATCACTTTACACTATTTGAAGCTGCTCATTGCTCACAACACTGCAATTGTGGGTTTCTCACCAGGTGATGAAACTTGCAGCAGTACAGACAAAGTAGACCAGTTCTATACTTAGTGTGATTAAATCTACCAACCTTTAATTTAAAAAATAATATATAATATGAAATATGTATATACAGTACAGACCACACTTTCTCATTCAATGAGTTTCCTTTCTTTTCATGACTATTGATTCACACCAGGCTGTGTAAGGGCTGTTTGATCTATTTTGATGCCTTCAGTGGGAATCTACAATTTTCATAATCATGAAAATAAACTCTTTGAATGAGAAGGTGTGTCCATATATATAAATTACATACACACACACACACAGTGGGGCAAAAAAGTATTTAGTCAGCCACCGATTGTGCAAGTTCTCCCACTTAAAATAATGACAGAGGTCTGTAATTTTCATCATAGGTACACTTCAACTGTGAGAGACAGAATGTGAAAAAAATCCAGGAATTCACATTGTAGGATTTTTTAAGAATTTATTTATATATTATGGTGGAAAATAAGTATTTGGTCAATACCAAAATTCAACTCAATTATATATTACAGAGGTCAAACGATTACTATAGGTCTTTACCAGGTTTGCACACACAGTAGCTGGTATTTTGGCACATTCCTCCATGCAGATCTTCTCGAGAGCAGTGAACACAGACTTTCAACTCCCTTCACAGATTTTCAATGGGGTTGAGGTCTGGAGACTGGCTAGGCCACTCCAGGACTTTCAAATGCTTCTTACGGAGCCACTCCTTCGTTGCCCGGGCGGTGTGTTTGGGATCATTGTCATGCTGGAAGACCCAGCCACGTGTCATCTTCAAAGCTCTCACTGATGGAAGCAGGTTTTGGCTCAAAATCTCACGGTACATGACCCCATTCATTCTCTCCTTAACACGGATCAGTCGTCCTGTCCCCTTAGCAGAAAAACAGCCCCAAAGCATGACGTTTCCACCCCCATGCTTCACAGTAGGTATGGTGTTCTTGGGATGCAACTCAGTATTCTTCTTCATCCAAACACGACGAGTGGAGTTTATACCAAACAGTTCTACTTTGGTTTCATCTGACCACATGACATTCTTCCAATCCTCTGCTGTATCATCCATGTGCTCTCTGGCAAACTTCAGACGGGCCTGGACATGCACTGGCTTCAGCAGGGGACAGTCTGGCACTGCAGGATTTGATTCCCTGTAGTTGTAGTTACTGATGGTAACCTTTGTTGCTTTGGTCCCAGCTCTCTGCAGGTCATTCACCAGGTCCCCCCGTGTGGTTCTGGGATTTTTCGATCACCGTTCTCATGATCATTTTGACCCCACGGGATGAGATCTTGCGTGGAGCCCCAGATCGAGGGAGATTATCAGCAGTCTTGATCTAGGCGACAGTAGCTCAGTTGGTAGAGCATTGGCCTTTGGGCCCAAAGGACGTGGGTTCAAGCCCACCACGGGACCTTCTCCACCTACTCCCACTGATGTCTGCTGTCGTTGTGTCCTTGGGCAAGACACTTAAGCCACTTAGCCTATAAGGAGCACGGATATGATGTTTGCTGCATGCCTTGATGTGTATGCGTATATATGTATGTACTATATGTGTATGCATCAAACTGAAGTTTCCCCATTGTGGGACGAATAAAGGACCTTCTTCTTCTATGTCTTCCATTTTCTGAAAATTGCTCCCACAGTTGATTTGTTCACCCCAAGCTGCTTGCCTATTGTAGATTCACTCTTCCCAGTCTAGTGCAGGTCTACAATTCTTTTCCTGGTGTCCTTCGACAGCTCTTTGGTCTTGGCCATAGTGGAGTTTGGAGTCTGACTGTTTGAGGCTGTGGACAGGTGTCTTTTATACAGATAACGAGTTCAAACAGGTGCCATTAATACAGGTAACGAGTGGAGGACAGAAGAGCTTCTTAAAGAAGTTACAGGTCTGTGAGAGCCAGAGATCTTCCTTGTTTGAAGTGACCAAATACTTATTTTCCACCATAATTTACAAATAAATTATTTAAAAATCCTACAATGTGAATTCCTATATTATTATTTTTTCACATTCTGTCTCTCACAGTTGAAGTGTACCATCCATCCATCCATCCATTTTCTACCCTTTAATCCATTTCTGGGTCAGGGGGGTGGCAGTCAGAGATGCCACCCAAGTCTCATAGCACCAGCCCCTCACTGACCCTCTGCAGGTGGTGAGTCCACAGGAGGACGGCTGCTCTCTGAGTGTGAGCATAGCCTTGATCTTTCAGTGGGGGCCTGAAAGATGAAGTGTACCTATGATGAAAATTACAGACTCATGTGGAATTATGTACGTACTACATAAAAAAGTATGAAAACAACTGAAAATATGTCTTATATTCTCGGTTCTTCAAAGTAGCACCTTTTGCTCTGATTACTGCTTCACATACTCTTGGCATTCTCTTGATGAGCTTCAAGAGGTAGTGACCTGAAATGGTCTTCCAACAGTCTTGAAGGAGTTCCCAGAGATGCTTAGCACTTGTTGGCCCTTTCGCCTTCACTCTGTGGTTCAGCTCACCCCAAAACCATCTGGATTGGGTCCAGGTCCGGTGACTGTGGAGGCCAGGTCATCTGGCCCAGCACCGACCACTCTCCAAAGCTCACCACGAAACGGATACAATGGAGATAAGCAAGACCAGATTTAATCCAGATTTCATCTGGTCTTTTGTTTGTCTTCCCCAGATGTCCAGAGGACGAGTCGTGTCTCTTGGTGAGCACCCCAAACAAAGCTTTGTCCCAGTCGTTTGAAAACCTGCTGGATGACAACAACTACGGCCTGGTCAACGTGAGTATATTACAATATAACAAAACTGTGGGGGCATAACTTTAGTTACATTAATGAAACGTGTTGTTTGGCCCAACAAAAAGAGTCTTAGAAAATGTCTTAGAAATCTCATTAGAAAACTTGTGAGAAAGAGCACTGTAAGTCACTATTTGACTCTTTGGGCCCAAAGCTGATTGGCTGAGTTAGGGCGCAGGCCAGGACCAGATAATTGCTCTGATCACAACGTAATAGTTTCACCATAGCGTACAGTTTAAAAACTTATTTAGACAGGAGGGGTGGCGGGAATTATTTTGTGTCTGATATTAGCATGGATGGAGCTAATCACAACTTCAGATTCAGTTTATTTGCCATTTGCGGTAAAAAAACCCCACATTGGAATACATTAGCAAAAAGTCTCCAGTGTGCACAGACAAATACAGACATAAAACAACATTAAAAGACAGAAATAAAACAAATAAAACAGTAAACAAGTGTCACTGTGAAATCGATCGACTAAAACAGTTTCAAAACAAGTGCAAATCATTAAAGTGCTCTGTTCACACTGATAACAGCTTGTGGATAAAAACTGTTAGCGTAACGAGATGTCCTGCATCTCAGAGAGCGATATCTTCTGCCAGAGGGAAGAAGCTGGAACATGGCTTTCCCAGGGTGGCCAGAAGAGTCATTAACAATCCTAAGAGCTTTGTTTAAAAGTCTGGATTTATAAAGAACCTCCAGAACAGGAAGCTCACAGCCCACGGTCTTCTTTGCAGAGCGGAGCACCTTGTTTAAAGCTCTCTTTTCTTTATCTGTGATGTTTCCAAACCACACAGATACAGAACCAACAAGTAAACTCTCAATGGTGCAGCGATAAAAGTTAAGCAGAATCTTAGAGTTAGTGGTAAATTCTCTAAGTTTACGCAGTAAGTAGAGACGCTGACGAGCTTTCTTAACGACTCTGTCAGTGTTTTTAACCCATTTCAAGTCGTTAGACAGAGTTAAACCCAGAAACTTGCACTCCTCTACGATCTGCACCTGGGAGTTGTCGCAAATGAGAACTATTGCGACTGAAGTCGAAGACCAGTTCACATGTTTTCGATGCGTTCAGCTGGAGGTTGTTAGTTTTACTCCACTGAACCACATTTTGTATCTCTGCTCTATAAGAGGATTCATCATTGTCACTGATGAGACCGATGATGGTGGTGTCATCAGCATATTTGATGATCAAGTTTAAGTCAGAGGAGGACACACAATCGTGAGTGTACAAAGTAAAAAGCAAAGGACTCAAAATACATCCCTGAGGAGAACCAGTGCTCACAGAAACAACATCAGAAAAACAGGTGTGTGACTGATGAGGGATGTTGACGTGGAGAATAATAATGGTATTCTTGTATGTATAGTCTCACACTGCTGCGTATTGGACCCACTGTTATTCTGAGGAATAATGGATTGTATGACTGTTATTCTGTTATTTTGTTTTTGTAATACACGTACCTGAGCTTTAATCTCAGTAAACTATGGCCCTGTGTTTCCTGTGAGTGCAGAAGATGAAGAAGGACCCTTACGTCACCACTCTTGGTGGATTCTCCAAAGTGACCAACTATTTGTTCGACGCTTTGCGGGGGACTGAGGAGCAGACGCGACGCCCCCCAGAGGAGATGGCAGAACTACTTGGCGAGGTGTGCGTGTGTGTGTGTGTGGGGGTGTGTGTGTGTGTGTGTGTGTGTGTGTGTGTGTGTGTGTGTGTGGTGTGTGGTGGTGGTACAGGTGTGTGTGTGTTTGTGTGTTTGGTGTGTGGTAGGTACAGGTGGGGGTGTGTGGCTTTGTGACTGGTGTTCTCTGTCACAGGTGATCCCAGGACTGGACATAAACCAACAGGAAGAGCCCGGCTTCGAGGTCATCACCAGAGTAAGATCACACACACTTCTCTAAACTCTGGTTCACTTGGAGGGAAAGTGTACAGCCGTATATTTCGACAGCAGTCGTTCAGAGATCGGAGATGGGCACCAGAGAGATGGGCACCAGAGAGATGGGCACCAGAGAGATGGGCACCAGAGAGAGGGAGACCAGTAGAAGCCATTGGTCTGTAGGGAGCGGGATGACGACTGTCCATAAGGGCCCCGGATCATCACTGTCGTTACACCCTCTCCTCAACTAGAAAGAACGTTTACAGACTCTCCCGTGTCCTCAGATTGACCTTGGCCCTCGTCCGACCGTCTGCAGAGGAGAACCGGTCTCTGTGGAGCAGTGGAACCAGAACCAAGACTCAGAGGGACGAGTCCGAGGAGTGAGCCAACTCAAAGACCTCATCTTCAAAGGGGTAAGAGCTCAAGGAGAGTATCTTCAAATAGTCTCCTCTCCGCTTTCTGGACGTAATGCTAACCTCTGTCTGTGACCTCATAAAGCAGTAGTTTGATTACAGCGCCCCCTGTGTTCAGGGCCTTTCTCACGCCATCAGGAAAGAGGCCTGGAAGTTTCTATTAGGATATTACCCCTGGAGCAGCACTGCAGAGGAGAGAAAGTGCCTGCAGAAGAGCAAGATGTGAGAGTGTGTGTGTGTGAGCGAGTGAGAGGGTGCGAGAGATGGCCGTGCGCTAATAAACGTATCCTTCACAGAGACGAGTATTTCTGCATGAAGCTTCAGTGGAAATCTGTGAGTGAAGAACAAGAGCGGAGGAACAGTCGGCTGAGGGACTATCGCAGTCTGATTGGTGGGTGTCTCTTTTGTAAAGACCAGGAGAGACCCGGACTGGACTCATTCTAACACATGATCTCGGTTTTCTTCTTCCTCATGTTTCCAGAGAAGGACGTGAACCGCACCGATCGCACAAACAGATTTTACGAGGGTCTGGACAATCCAAGTTTAGTCCTGCTACACGACATCCTCATGACCTACTGCATGTACGACTTCGACCTGGGTGAGGACCGCCTTCTATGCAAGGGGGGTGTTTGTGTTTTTTCTCTGCTCTCCCTTTTTGGTCTCTCTCTCTCTCTGGCTTCTCTCCCTGGTCTCTCTGGACTCTCTCTCAGAAACATATCCCTAAGTCTCGGCTTCCTCCCGGGTCTGAGACGGCTGTGTTTCTGGCAGGTTACGTCCAGGGCATGAGCGACCTGCTGTCCCCCATCCTCTACGTCATGGAGAACGAGGTGGACGCCTTCTGGTGCTTCGCCTTCTACATGGACCAGATGGTGAGCTTGTCCGAGTCGACGTTTCGAGAGAGAGAGAGAGAGAGAGAGAGAGCCCCAAAATTCCCGGACTATAAGCCACTGTTATTTTGTGATGCAATTAAAATGTGTATTTTTAGAGTTGGGCTGTAGTCAGAGCTCCATTAAGTCTTTGTAGCTTTAGGACCCTTCTTTATGTCAACATAAATGAAGGTGAATGAGTCCTGGAAGCTAATGTTTAAGCTGGTAAACAACATGACAACATGAAAAACTCCAGCTTGTATTCAGGTGCAGCTTATATGTGGTCAACATTGATTTTCTGAAATATAGCGGCTTATAAACATTACAGTCCAAAACAGTTCCTTGCGCTGTCATTACGTAGAGTATTGTCCCTGGTGTGACTTGTGTGCAGTGTTAGAGCCTTCTTCCCCTGAGCCACTTGTGAGCAGAGGCCCAGAAAACAGTTTGCCTTTACTATGTCTATATTACAGCTGTATTATATTTATCTTTGTTCTTCATGTGTTTTCAGCATCAGAACTTTGAGGAGCAGATGCAGGGGATGAAGACTCAGCTGGTGCAGTTGGGGTCTCTGCTGCGGCTGCTGGACCTGTCCTTCTGGAATTACCTCGGTACGAAGACAAAGCGGTCATGTGTTCTCTATTTTTACGTCCTAACTTGTTTGCACTGAGAGCCAAAGCAATTTCCTAGTATGTGACAATAAAAATGATTCTGATTCTGATCATCTCCTTCAGAGTCCCAAGACTCTGGGTTCCTGTACTTCTGTTTCCGCTGGCTGCTGATTCGATTCAAACGAGAGCTGAGCTTCCAGGACGTGATGCGATTATGGGAGGTTAGTGTTTACATGTTCACTCCTGTGACTGAGAACCAGAGACCACACTGTAATCAGACTTGGCCAGTTGGAGAGTTGTGGTGAGGGAGCCTGTTCATTGAGCTAGCAGGTTAGCATTGTCCATCCATCTGTATAGTCTGTTAGCAATGTCCTTCTGAATACAGTCTTCTAGCAATGTCCAACTGTGTGTAAATGTGTGTATTTGTGTGCCCTCGTGCTCAGGTCATGTGGACGGACCTGCCCTGTCAGAACTTCCACCTGCTCGTGTGCTGCGCAATCTTAGATTCTGAGAAGCAGAAGATCATGGAGGAAAACTACGGCTTTAACGAGATTCTCAAAGTGCGTGTCTGCGAAACCCCTCCGACGTCCACATCGGTTTAACGAGTTTATCTTTCCCACAGCACATAAACGAGCTGTCCATGAAGCTGGACATCGAGGAGATCCTCCACAAGGCTGAAGGCATCTGTCTGCAGATCCGGAGCTGTAAGGTCAGTGCTTCTCTCTGCTCTCTCTCTTTGGTTTCTTTCTGGTCCCTCTGGTCTCTCTCTGGTCTCTGGACTTCCCTCTGTAACCTCACACCCCCCTTGTTTTGCAGGACCTCCCACGTTCTGTCAGCTCCATCCTTGGCTTCTTGTCTGAATCCTCTGACCTCAGACCATGTCAGAAAACAGAAAACTCAAACGGACACTGCACAGACTCTGTCCTGGCCTCGTAACGCTGCTGTCCAAAGAGCCGTATTTTTGTAATTCCATGCTCTGTCCTGGTCCTCCGTCATTCCCGCTTCATCCTGACCGATTTGAGACTCAAACGAGGAGGAAATGTGCTTTTTTTAACTTTTGAAAATCGCGTTCTTCTTTTGATGGTATTTTAAAGGTTTTTGAGAGATGAGGGAAATAAACTATTATGATCTTTGCTGTATGTGACAATCCCACACCTGGCTCTCTGATATCTCTTTACATCATTTGAAATGTTTGAAAAATGTTGATTTATAACTCACTCTGGTCTCTCTCTGGTTTCTCTCCTTGCTCTCTCTCTCTCTCGTCTCTCTTTGTTGTCTCTAGTTGCTCTAGTGTTGTCTCTCTCTGGTCATAAAAGAGGCAGTGGTTAAAGTGCTAATCCAATTTCAGCTTTTACACATTTTATACATTTTTAAAACCAAGAGTAAGTAACAGATGACTGGGAAGTGAAGGAAACATGATTTATTTTCTCATCAAAATAGAAATAAGAGCTATGTTCGAGTCCCGATCAGAACAGGACCTTTCTGAGTGGAGTTTGCATGTTGAAAATGTCAGTGCTGATCGACAGCCTCTGTCCTGGATCCACTGTATCTGTCCCTGATCGTAGAAAAAAGGTAAAAAAAAGTAAATGTTGATAATAACAACAGAAAACTATCGGAGTTTGACATTTGAGTGAAAACACTTCTCTTAATCACAGCAACACAGGAAACACAATAATAACAAAAAATGGCAATAGACAATAGGTAAGGCAAGGCAAGTATATTTGTATAGCACAATTCATACACAAGGTAACTCAAAGTGCTGAACAGAACAAGATAGCATTATAATAAAAAATAATAACAATATTCTCTCTGGTCTAATCTGGCCCAATTGTCTCTATGGCCTTTCTCGGTTCTCTTTCTAATTTCTCTGGTCTCTCTGCTCTGTATCTTCTTCCCCTTTGTCCATTTCTGGGTCAGGGGGTGGCAATCAGAGCCACTCAGTCCACAGAGCACCAGCTCCTCACTGATCCTCCTGCAGGTGGTGAGTCCACAGGAGGATGGCTGTTCTGTCAGGTCAAGTGTCTTCCCCAAGGACATAACAACAGTAGATATCAGTGGGAATCGGTGTAGTTGGTCCCCTGTTGGGATCGAACCCATGACTACTCAGAATTAGCTACTGATTGTAGCTAATTCTGTGGTCCAACAGTCACTCACAAACGCACTCATTCAACATTTTAGTTGTAGGAGCACCCAAGGAAAACCTATGCAGACACGGTGGCTGAGTGGATAGCACTCTTGCTTCTCAGCAAGAAGGTCCTGGGTTCAAATCCTGGTTGGAACAGGGCCTTTGAGTGGAGTTTGCATGTTCTCCCTGTGTCTGCGTAGGTTTCCTCCTGGTACTCCGGTTTCCCCTACCACTATAAACATGTACAATATTACTGAGCATGTGCCCCCTGTACTGGCCCTGCTCCCATCTCTGTGTGGAGTGAGAGACAAATGCCCAAAAATACCAATTGTAAACTGCTTTGTGACTCTGGTCTGTGAAAGGTGGTATAGAAATAAAGATTACTTACAGGGAGAACATGCAAACTGCACACTGAAAGGTCCCTAGAGGTCTCTCTTTGGTCTCCTCTGTTCCTTCAGGATCAGAGAGCCTGGTTAAATACCAGTGTGTCCTCTGGAAATGGCAGCGCGGTGATGGACGTGGTTTTATCTGCCATCAGCTTTCATATCCGGCTGCGCAGGAAATGAGCCGCCCGCGCCTCGCCTCCTGCACCATGTGGAGAGTGGCAGGTTATCTGCGGTTATCGGCCAGAGTTTAATGAAGCGGACGTCCATCAGCAGCAGCAGCAGCCGTGGTTCAGGATCACGAGGCTGATACACAAATATAAAGATTTATACTTATGTGAGTCTATACAATTAGATCCACCGTGTATGGACGTACCTGTATCTACCTGTCAGCAGGGTTAATGGTCAGGGTTGGGGTCAGAGGTCAGGGCTGTGAGTCCAGTGAACCTGAACTGTTCATCACTTGGCATCAGACTGTGCTTGCACATAATGGTTTTGGTTTGGGTCTGGGTCTTGGTGTGTGACAGTGGGAGAACACATGTGGAGGAGGAGGGTCATCTTGTGGAGCATCACAAGATGAAGCTGAGGGCAAAGCTGTGAAGCCTGTGTGTGGTCTGAGTCTAGGTTTACGTCTGGTCTGATCTAGGTCTAAGTCTGGGTCTGAGTCTCCTATAAGATGAGATATTAGCATTCTATGTAAATATTGATCTAAAGCTGTGTTTGGACAAAGGAGGTCTGTCCCCTCTGGACTCTTGTAACCGGAGCTGGTCTATACCCGGTTTACAGTCAGGATCGGACCCGGTCTACAGTCAAGTCATAAACACAGAAACAACAGTGGGAGAACACATGTGAAAGAGCGGCATGAGCTAAAGCTGAGCGCAAAGCTGTAAGGCTTGTGTGTGGTCTAGGTCTAAGTTTTGCCTGATCCAAGCCCGGTCTGCTCTAGGTCTAGGTCTGGTCTACAACCAACAGGTTTGATATTTCTGTGATCGCACTTCAGCAGTTGTGACTTCAGGTGGTTAGAAAAGTGTATAAAGAGAGTGAAGGGTTTTATAGCCTTAAAATACACAGCTGCTACTTCAAGGATTTCACTAATTGTGGGTTATTTTTAGAACACATCACTCCTGCGATAAACCAGGGACCAGTGTACACAAAAACATTCTGTTATGTTTGGGATGACTGATGAATGGATACTCCCACCACACAAACAGTTCCACCCTCCCCTCTCTCTCTCTGATATAAACCACATCTGCCTCTGGTTGACTGTTTTTTCCCCTGCACACCTCCACCTCAGCACAGCAGCATCCAGTCTCTCCCGGGTCCTGCCCTCTGCTGAAGCCTCTGGTCTCTCTGGTCTCTCCCCTGTTTCTCTGATCTCTCCTAGCTCCTCTCTCCTCTGGTCTCTCCCCTGTTTCTCTGATCTCTCCTATATCTCCTCTCTCCTCTGGTCTCTCCTAGCTCCTCTCTCCTCTGGTCTCTCCCCTCCTCTCTCCCCTGTTTCTCTGGTCTCTCCTAGCTCCTCTCTCCTCTGGTCTTTCCCCTCCTCTCTCCCCTGTTTCTCTGGTCTCTCCTAGCTCCTCTCCCCTGGTCTCTCCTCTCCCTTGCCTTCCCCTGGTCTCCATGGAGCCCTGGTACACCTACACACACTGGTACCCCATGGCCTCATCCCACCTGAAGAAGGAGCCCCCGGAGCCCGTGCCGCACATGCAGCCGGCTATGATGCTGTTCTCCTCCAAGTACTGGTCCAAGCGAGGGCTGTCCCTGGACTCGGCCATGTTCCCCCCGAGCAGAGGCCCCCAGCAGAGGCACACCGGCGGACAGATGGTGAGTGGCCATAGGCTTCAAGGGAACATTTGAAATAATTTAGTCATTTGATGTTTTATGTGTGCTTTTTACCATATACTGTATGCAGATGGACCATGCTAACCCGCTCAATGAAGCACAATAGGGAAGTGCTCATGGTTAAGTTTTGCTTCAACTCACTCTGGCTCCTATTGACTTACCATGTAAATGTAAACTCCTCTAGCTCAGTACCTGTTTGTGTCATTCATCATTTTGGGATTAAAGCTGCAGTTTAGCAATATTGTCTTTATCTATTGGAGTTTCCCCCACGAATGAAGGCTCCTGATTGGTCAATCCTTATATGGCTCACATCTGGATTTACAAAGACAATATCATAATATAAACCATACATTTAAGCCTTAAATGGTGAGTGTGACACACGGTTATGAGCTAGAGGAGTTTACTTTTAATAATCTTTAGGAGCCAAACTTCATCCATGAACACCTATGGGCTTCACCAAGATACCGGGTTATAGCATTGTCCATCTGTGTACAGCCTGTGTACAGTCTGTGTACAGTCTGTGTACAGTCTGTGTACAGTCTGTGTACAGTCTGTGTACAGTCTGTGTACAGTCTGTGTACAGACCAGCACCGCTCCTGATGGCTCTTTGTCATTGCTACCCATATAAATTAATACATTTGGCTCAACATCCGCGGTGCAATAAGCCTGTTGGAGTTGGCTCAAATTGGCTTCTTCTGCCTTCAGGCAGTGGCGTCACACTCTGGTCTCTCTGGTCTCTCTCTGGTCTGTCTCACTGGTCTCCCCTCTTCTCCTCCATGGTCTCTCTTCCTCTGGTCTCTCCTCTCTCCCTTGGTCTCTCCTCCTCTCTCAACTGGTCTCTCTTCCTCTCTCCCCTTGTCTCTCCTCCTCTTTCCCTGGTCTCTCCTCTCTCAACTGGTCTCTCTTCCTCTCTCCCCTGGTCTCTCCTCCTCTCTCCCCTGGTCTCTCCTCCTCTCCCCCCTGGTCTCTCCTCCTTTCTTCCCCAGTCTCTCTCTCCTGGTCTCTCCTCCTTTCTTCCCCAGTCTCTCTCTCCTGGTCTCTCCTCTTTCCCCTGGTCTCTCCTCCTCTCTCCCCTGGTCTCCCTTCCTCTAGTCTCTCCTCTCTCAACTGGTCTCTCTTTTTCTCTCCACTGGTCTCTCCTCTCTTCCCTGGTCTCTCCTCTGGTCTCTCTCCCCTGGTCTCTCCTCTCTCAACTGCTCTTCCCTCATCTCCCCCCTGGTCTCTCCTCCTTTCTTCCCCAGTCTTTCTTCATCTGGTCTCTCCTCTCTCCCCTGGTCTCTTCTCTCTCCCCTGGTCTCTTCTCTCTCCCCTGGTCTCTCCTCTCTCCCCTGGTCTCTCCTCTCTCCCCTGGTCTCTCCTCTCTCCCCTGGTCTCTCCTCTCTTCCCTGGTCTCTTCTCTCTCCCCTGGTCTCTCCTCTCTCCCCTGGTCTCTTCTCTCTCCCCTGGTCTCTTCTCTCTCCCCTGGTCTCTTCTCTCTCCCCTGGTCTCTTCTCTCTCCCCTGGTCTCTCCGCTCTCCCCTGGTCTCTTCTCTCTCCCCTTGTCTACCCTTCCCTTTACAGTCTCTGTTCTGGACCAGAGGGAGAGCTTTAAACTGCTTCCTCACAGTGGTGACAGAGAACACACAGCTGCAGCAGTCACAGCCTCCACACAATCACCTGTATGTAAACAGCTGTAATTCAGACAAAAGCAAAAGGAACTGTTCTATGGGCCGCTGCTCACATGTGGCTCAGGAGAAGAAGGCTCTGACACTACACACAAGTCACACCAGGGACGATGGAGACGTGGAGCTGTGTATAAGTGAGTGAAGCTCTCAACACCAGAGTTTGGGCTAACTGTCTGTTTTGCACATGTCTTGTAGTCCATTTTAGTGTGATTCATTAAGGTCTCTCTAGCTCTCTCTTTTTGGTCTCTCTGATCTCTCTATGGTCTCACTCTCTCTGGTCTCTGCCTGGTCTCTTTAATGTCTCTATGGTCCTTCTTTCTCTGATCTCTCTCTGTTGTCTAATGTTTGTGTATTGTATACCATTGGTGGTAGTATTGTATTGACAGTAGTATTTTCTAATGTGATTTTCTAAATTCTACTGGATTGTTTTGACTTGTGTTGTGTGGGTGAGAGGGTTGGGCTAAAATAAGCATAATGCTTCATCCAACCCCTTTTCAAACCTTGAACATGTCTGAACATTTGTAAAATGTGTTTCCTGTGCAGGTTTTGAAATAAATAATTCACTTCAATTCAATTGTGAGTTGCAGTCACGGCGGCCATCTTTCTGCCCCATCGACGAGAAGAAGGACAGTGATGCGGACTCTCGCACGGCCGTGGTGTTCTCTCTGAAGAACGAGGTCGGAGGGTTGGTCCGAGCGCTGCGGGTTTTTCAGGTGACGCATCTTAAGTTTAGATACTCGCAGTGGTGTTCCAAGGGTACTCTGACGCCCCAGGCAAGAGTCCTTGGGGGCCCCGATACCGACCACATAACCACATAAAAAGGTTTATATTACAGTAGGTATAAATAAATATATATTTAATAATAAGGTAAAATGCAATATCTATTACTTGTTTACATTAATATGAATTAAATGTAGATAATTTCTTATTTTTAACAATAAATGGATAGGCCTGGGGCCTGTCTGGCAGACTGTACAGTCTACCATAGAAAATGGTGAATACTTCAGTACTTATCGTGACACAAAGCAATGAGAAATAATTTAGCGTGTCTTTTTATACGCTTATTCATTTCACTCATCATGTTATAATTAATTACAAAAACTACCTATCAAAGTGTATGAATCCTACAAAATCTAATCTTTCATTTGGACCTCAGTGTTTATAGAGTCTAGATCAAAGATCAGGCTCTTAGCTTTAATCTGCAAAAAACGGCTTGTTTTTACCTTTTACCGTTCTTGAGCAATCTGTCATATAATATAGTTTAATCCAAAATAACGCTCTCCTTCAGATTCAAACCCAGGCCTCTGCGTTGCAAGCGCTGCAACTTAACCACTAGACCACTATTACATTCAATACAGAAGCTGCCCCAGGCAGGGCTTTTAACTGTTAATGAAGAACGTGGCAAGTTTTGCATCAGACGAAAACTTTTTTTCCGCCAACTCGTCACTGCAGGTAGCTGTTTCGGGGCCCCAGGCAGCTGCCTGCCTTGCAGAGGGACAATATTTGCAATATCCAGAGGAACGCCTCTGGTTATTCGGACCCTGGACCGCGTAAAGATAAACAATGTAACCTCAGCATAACCTCAGCTGTTTGAGGCTTCAGTGTGAACATCTGCATCAGGTCAGTATTCTGGGGCCCCAAAGGATTTTTGTCCAGTCTTGAGTCGACATCGATATGCCAAAATATATGTACTCTTAATTAAAGCGTATATTGCTTCTTTCATTGCAGTGGGCACACCTGTCCCACACCTTTCTCTGGTCTCTGGTCTGTCTATCTCGTCCCTCTGGTCCCTCTGGTTTATTCTACTGATGACACCAGGGCAGGATGTGTAACAATGGGATAAGGAGGATTGCAGAACTCCTCCCTCAGGACTCAGGATTCCTCCCTCAGGACTAAAGCACACTTTCATTGCAGTGGGCACACCTGTCCCACAGCTTTCTCTGGTCTCTGGTCTGTCTATCTCGTTCCTCTGGTCCCTCTGGTTTATTCTACTGATGACACCAGGATGTGTAACAATGGGATAAGGAGGATTGCAGAACTCCTCCCTCAGGACTAAAGCACACGATAATGTAAGCTCATCTCAGAGTAGCTCTTGGTAAAATGACTACTACTGCTACTACTACTGCTACTGCTACTGCAACTGATACTACTGCTATTACTGCTACTACTGCTACTGCTGCTTCTGCTACTACTTCTACTGCTACTGATGCTGCTACTACTTCTACTGCTGCTACCATTATTAAGGGCACCGTTGTTTCTATCTCTGGTCTCTTTCTCCGGTCTCTCTCCTTTGCTCTTCCTCCCTTATCTCCCTGACCCCAGATTCTCCCCTCTCTCTGTTTCCTCAGGAACGCAGAGTGAACCTGAACCACATCGAGTCTCGAGTTTCCAGACGCCTCTTGAACGAGGTGGAGATCTTTGCTGATTGCAGCTGTAGCAAGAAGGAGTTCAACGAGCTCCTGCAGCAGCTCAAAGACCACGTCAACATTGTGTCCTACAACACCCCCATGAATGCCTGGTCCGCTGAGGCAGGTATGGCTACAGCTGCTGCTTCTATTGCTATTATTACTCATACTACTATTACTGCTGCTGTTGCAGATGGAGAGGAAGACGTGCCCTGGTTTCCCATGAAGATCTCGGAACTGGACCAATGTTCTCATCGAGTCCTGATGTACGGATCTGAACTGGATGCAGACCACCCAGTGAGTCATGTAATATTTTATGAAGGAGGTTTGACGTACATGCCCAATGCCTTTGGCTACGGGTGCCTGTTTGGACTGCATCACAAGTCAGACCTGTGCCAGACCAGAGACTAGAGAGACCAGAGACCAGTGGTCATCCTGCTCCATAGGAAGTAGAATGACCACACAGGATTCTCTACAGCTTCAGTCCGTCCTTGGGAGACAGACTGAAGCTGTAGATCCAGGACTGAGGTTGTAGATTCAGGACTTAGACTGTAGATCCAGAGGATCAGTCCTGGTTTAGACCTGGTTCAGTCCTGGTTCAGTCCTGGTTTGGACTTGGCTTACACCTCTGTCAGTGATATACCTGTTTGGTTGCAGGGTTTCAAAGACAACGTTTATCGCCAGCGGAGGAAATACTTTGTGGAAGTTGCAATGAACTACAAATTGTGAGTATAACATTTTTTGGCAGAGACCTTAAGACCCACTGAAAGTCTGTTTGTTTATAATGGCTTTTGGAAAACACCAGACTGATTTAAAGACCTTCCACAACAAAGTGCATGTGTCTGGGATCCACCAGGGTCAGATTACAAGGAGCAACACTGTGTGCTCACAGCAACTGGTACTTCCTCATTGGGGTGGTCTTGTTTAATCCAGTCACAAATGTGAACTCAGGGTGAAAGCATTCCACGTGCACTTTGTAGTCTTGGTTTAGTCCTGGTTTAGTCCTGGTTTAGTCCTGGTTTAGTCCTGGTATAGTCCTGGTATAGTCCTGGTATAGTCCTGGTATAGTCCTGGTTTAGTCCTGGTATAGTCCTGGTATAGTCCTGGTATAGTCCTGGTATAGTCCTGGTTTAGTCCTGGTATAGTCCTGGTATAGTCCTGGTATAGTCCTGGTATAGTCCTGGTATAGTCCTGGTTTAGTCCTGGTATAGTCCTGGTTTAGTCCTGGTTTAGTCCTGGTATAGTGCTGGTATAGTCCTGGTATAGTCCTGGTTTAGTCCTGGTTTAGTCCTGGTATAGTGCTGGTATAGTCCTGGTATAGTCCTGGTTTAGTCCTGGTATAGTCCTGGTTTAGTCCTGGTATAGTGCTGGTATAGTCCTGGTATAGTCCTGGTTTAGTCCTGGTATAGTGCTGGTATAGTGCTGGTATAGTCCTGGTATAGTCCTGGTTTAGTCCTGGTATAGTGCTGGTTTAGCTCTCTGTGACCCAGACCATGTCTTCAGTGGACAGGTCATCCCCCGGATTGAGTACACCCCAGAGGAGGTGCGGACCTGGGGCGTGGTCTTCAGGGAGCTCTCCAAACTCTACCCGAGTCACGCCTGCAGAGAGTACCTGAAGAACTGGCCTCTTCTGAAGGAGCACTGCGGCTACCGAGAGGACAACATCCCCCAGCTGGAGGACGTGTCGGCCTTCCTCCGAGGTGAGACTGACACTCAGAGGTCAGCTCTGAGGTCAGCTCTGATGTGACCTGTGTGTTTCAGAGCGCTCCGGCTTCACCGTGCGTCCGGTTGCTGGATACTTGTCTCCGAGAGACTTTCTGAGCGGTTTAGCCTTTAGGGTTTTTAACTGTACTCAGTATATAAGACACAGCACAGACCCTCTGTACACACCTGAGCCGTGAGTACAAACACACACTCACACAGAGAGACATACACACACGCACACACACACAGAGACACACACACACACACAGAGACACACATAACCCTCTCTCTCTCCTCAGAGACACGTGTCATGAGTTGCTGGGACACGTCCCGCTCCTCGCTGACCCAAAGTTTGCTCAGTTTTCTCAAGAAATTGGTTTAGCCTCATTAGGAGCCAGTGACGAGGACGTGCAAAAGCTGGCTACTGTGAGTACTACTACTACTACTACTACTACTACTACTGGGGCGACAGTAGCTCAGTTGGTAGAGCATTGGCCTTTGAGCCAGAGGGTCGTGGGTTCGAGCCTGTCTGCCACTGTCTGCTGTCGTTGTGTCCTTGGCAAGACACTTAACCTCTGGGAACACCATGTGCCACAGTGGGGCGGCTACGGCTGTAAAGTGCCAAACTGCTGTTCTGTCCTTAGGCAAGACACTTTACCCCCATTGCCTAGAATGAGTCTAGTGTGTGTGTGCATGGTTGGTGGTAGTCGGAGGGGCCGATGGCACATACTGGTTGCCTTGCTTCTGTCAGTGTGCCCCAGGGCAGCTGTGGCTACAGTAGTAGTTTAGTGAAGTGAAAGAATAATGACATGTGAAGCTTCTTTGAGTGTCCAAAAAAATGCTTTGATACATTATTATTATTAGAGCTACTACTACTGCTATTACTACTACTACTTCTACTCTCACTCTGTCCTGCAGTGTTACTTCTTCACCATCGAGTTTGGTTTGTGCAAACAGGACGGTCAGCTCCGAGCATATGGAGCCGGGCTGCTGTCATCTATCGGAGAACTGCGGGTAATTTTACACACAATTATACTAGTACTACTGCAACTACTCTGGTCTCTCTCTGGTCAGACTCTCTGGTCTCCTTGATCTCTCTGGTCTCTCTCGCTGGTCTCTCTCTGGTATCTTTCCCTGGTTTCTCTCTCTGGTCTCAGAAATGAGTTGTCGTTGTGGTGTTTTCCAGCACGCCCTGTCGGACAAGGCCTGTGTGAAACCCTTTGACCCCAAGACCACGTGTCATCAGGAATGTCTCATCACAACATTTCAGGACGTTTACTTTGTGTCGGAGAGTTTCGAGGAGGCCAAGGAGAAGATGAGGTAACCAAGAAACTACTGGCCTACTATGGTTCCAGTCTCTCAGGGTCTCTCTCCGGTCTCTCTGTTCTCTCTTTCTGGTCCCTCTCTGGCCTTTCTCTGGTCTCTCTCTCTTCCGTCTCTCTCTGGTCTCTTTCTGGTCTCTTTTTCTGATATCTCTGGTCCCTCTCTGGCCTTTCTCTGCTCTCTCTCTCTTAAATCTCTCTCTGGTCTCTTTCTGGTCTCTGTCTGATCACTATCTCTGGTGTCTCTCTGAACTCTCTCTAGCTCCCTCTGGTATCTTTCTGTTCCCTCTGGTCTCTTTCTGCTCTCTCTCTGCTCTCTCTGGTCTTTCTCTTTGATCTCGCACTGGTCTCTCTCTGGTCTCACTCTGGTCTCACTCTGGTCTCACTCTGGTCTCTCTCTGGTATCTCTCTGGTCTCACTCTTCTCTGTGTTTGTCTCAGGGAGTTTGCAAAGACCATCAAGCGTCCGTTCTCTGTGTACTACAACCCGTACACTCAGAGCGTGGATCTTCTCAAAGACACGAGGAGCATCGAGAACGTGGTGCAGGAGCTGAGGAGCGACCTGACCACAGTGTGCGACGCCCTGGGAAAGATGAACACCTACATGGGCATCTGACGCACAAAAAAAAACGAACACCAGGCAACACAAGAGCACACAACACATGAACACACAACCACTGAGGAGTGACCATACGCCCTGGGCAAGAGGAACCCATACACCCTGTTCCCACCAGCTCTACTCTACTCTCCAGTATTCTACAGTACTCTACTCTACTCTACAGTACTCAACTGTACTCTACTCTACTCGACTCAACTCTACTGTACTCTACTCTACTGCACTCTACTCTACAGTACTCTACTCTACTCTACTGCATTCTACAGTACTCTACTCTACTGTACTCTACAGCAGGGGTTCCCAAAGTTTTTAGCCTGCGACCCCCATCATAAATGCCCTGGTAACCCGCGACCCCCCCCCCCCCCCCCCACCCCCCACCCCCAACAGCCCTTCCGTCACATGAAATGAGCGTGTATTTCCTTGATACGGAGTAACGCTTTCTAGAGACTCACGCCACTACTGAGCTGCACTGTCCAGCCCAAAAAAGGAGGCTTGCATATTTTTACTCATGTAGTGACACAGTGATGGGCTTGGTAGGCGCCCTCCTCAGCATTTCTTGCGGCTCGCCCTCACTGTTCTCCTACCGCGGTAAAGTGGGCCGGCTTTCCGGAGTCAGCGGTAAAGAGGTCCGCACATTAAAAGCGGGCGGCCGCTTTCTGCTGTTACTTTATGCGGTTCATCCCCGCGGCTTCTCTTTCCAAAGTTACTGTCAGTAAAGGCATAAACCGGCCACCCGCTTTTAATGTGCGGACCTCTTTACCTTTGACTCCGAAAAGCCGGGCCTCTTTAACGCGCTGTTCTGCAGCTGTCCTCTCTCCCTCCGCTGTCCTCTCTCCCTCCGCTGTCCTCTCTCCCTCCAGTGCCCTCTCTCCCTCCTCTGCCCTCTCTCCCTCCGCTGCCCTCCCTCCGCTGCCCTCTCTCCCTCCGCTGCCCTCTCTCCCTCCTCTGCCCTCTCTCCCTCCTCTGCCCTCTCTCCCTCCGCTGCCCTCCCTCCGCTGCCCTCTCTCCCTCCGCTGCCCTCTCTCCCTCCTCTGCCCTCTCTCCCTCCTCTGCCCTCTCTCCCTCCTCTGCCCTCTCTCCCTCCTCTGCCCTCTCTCCCTCCTCTGCCCTCTCTCCCTCCTCTGCCCTCTCTCCCTCTCTTCGCACCATCAGCCTGACCCCTGATACAAGTGACTTTTCTCCCCCTCCGGGTTTTTCTGTTGTGGATATTAACCACGTTTCATTTTAAAGCAGGTATTATTTATTTGTAGCCTCCAAACACCTTTAGTTTTAGCAAACAACAGCAGGACACGCTTTGTCGCTGCGCATGATGTGAGCTGTGTTACGTGATGATTTTGATTGACGCTGCAATGACTGGGACAAAATTACTAACGTTATTAAAATATATTATAGTCTCCAAACACAATTTAACAAGTAGTCCTTTTGAATCAAATCAAATGCTAAATAAATATTTAAGGACTTTATATTTGCTCAAAAAAAAAAAAATCTTTTTTGTTTGTTTGTGTGGAACTCATCTTGCGACCCCCCCAGGGTTTCCCGCGACCCCCCGGGGGGTCGGGACCCCCACTTTGGGAACCACTGCTCTACAGTACTCTACTGCACTCTACTCTACAGTACTCTACTCTACTGCACTCTACTATACAGTACTCTACTCTACTGCACTCTACTATACAGTACTCTACTCTACTGCACTCTACTATACAGTGCTCTACTCAACTGCACTCTACTCTACTGTACTCTACAGTACTCTACTCTACTCCACTGTACTGTACTGTTCTCTACTTTACTCTATTGTACTGGACTGTGCTCTACTGCTGCCTACCCATAAGAAAACAGTGTCTGGGGAAATTCCTTGGTAACCACAGCTTCCAGCTGCACTCTAAACAATCCTTGTCATTTAGAACACTTTAGTACTCAATGGGATGAGAGATGTACTTTCTTTTCTCACAATGGAGATATTCAGTTATCAAGGCTGGCTGCGTCCTATACTTCCATGCTTCTAATGACAGTTATTCAACAGCAGACAGCAAAACAAACATATTTCAGTTCTTGCAGATCATATTGATGGGAAATTACTCTGACCCGCCTCGTCCAATGTGGCATGTCAGAGGGGAATGTGGGTGAGGGTGGGGGGATAGACCATAGACTGAAAGAGAGAGAGGTAGACAATGTAGGAGGGAGGGGGGAGTCCTGCAGCTGGTGAACTGAGAGTCTGTGAGTCTGAGAGAGAGTCCATCCTTGGCCTTGAGTAGTGGAATGGGGAGATCAGTAGATAAGAGCAGTGCCTGCAGACATGGGGGACAATAACAACACGTATTTCTTGTGAGAATTTGTAAAAGCACTTTAGCTGGTCAGATCAAAGGCAGTGTAAACTTTAAAAGCCAATTGAGTCCATATTACATCATAACTGGATCCCCTCCGTTAACCGTTATCCAGAGTTGCCACGTCACTTGGAGAGTCCACCATGAGGCCCAAGTTCATTCATCTTCTCTTCCAAATGCTTATGTCCTTCCATCTCATTCCCAGATCTTTAAGAGAATGTTCGACCTGTATAACACACCGTTGTGTCCTCATTGCGCTCTCGGCCACAAACCTGGTCAACTCTCAAAAACTCTCCTTGTTTTGCGCAGAAAGCTTCTCATACATTTTCTGAGTAAACATTCCTCCAAGTAGATCAGGTAGATCAGGCCAACTCCAAACCCAATCAGGAGAAAACAAGCTACCATAAATCCAAATGGGGTCGCGGGTTAGCAGAGCATTTATGATGGGGGTCGCGGGCTAAAAACTTTGGGAACCCCTGTTCTACCAGAGGGAAGAGGCTGGAATATGGCTTTTCCAGGGTGGCCAGAAGAGTAATTGATTATTCTAAGAGCTTAGTTTAAGAGTCTGGATTCATAAAGAACTTACAGAACAGCTCAGAGCTCACAGTCCTCTTTGCAGAGCGGAGCACCTTGTGTAGAGCCCTCCTTCCTTTGGCTGTGATGTCACCAAACCACACAGTCATAGAACCAACAAGCAAACTTTCAATGGTGCAGGGATAAAAGTGAAGCAGGGTCTTAGAGTTAGTGGTAAATTCTCTAAGTGTCCACAGGGAGAAGATACGCTGCATGAGCTTTCTTAATTAACAACCTGTTTAGTGTTTTTGTCCCATTCCAGCTCATTAATAAGAGTCAAAACCAAGAAATTTGGACTCCCCTACAATCTGCACATGAGAGTTATCAATAACAGCAGGCGTTCAGCTGGAGGTTATTATCAAGCATCAGGATTTCTGCTCTGTCAGAGGATTCATCATTGTAGAGTAGGGTAGGGTAGGGTAGAGTAGAGTAGAGTGCGTGAGGTTGGGGTAGGGTAGGGTATAGTAGAGCAGGGTAAGGTAAGGAAGAGCAGGATAGGATTGAGTAGAGTAGAGTAGGGTAGTGCCGGGTAGAGTAGGGTAGGGTAGAGTAGGGTAGTGTAGAGTAGAGTAGGGCTGGGTAGTGTAGGGTAGGGTAGGGTAGAGTAGAGTATGGTAGTGTAGAGTAAAGTAGGGTAGGGTAGAGCAGGGTAGAATAGACAGAGTATGGTAGTGTAGAGTAGAGCAGAGTAGGGTAGGTAGGGTAGAGCAGGGTAGGGTAGAGTAGGATAGTGTAGGGTAGAGTAGAGTAGGGAAGGCTAGAAAAGGGTAGGATAGGGTAGAGTGGGGTAAAGTGTAGAGTAGAGAAGAGGAGCAGAGTAGGGTAGGGTGGTGTAGGGTAGGGTAGGGTAGGGTAGAGCAGAGCAAAGTAAGGCTGGTGGAAATGGGTGTATACATGGGATCATAACACAAAACTAAACGAGGCAAGGCAGATGTATTTGTAATGCGCAGGTGGTTTAAGGCAACTCATAGTGTTGAACCAAACAAGATACAAACAATCACTAAAATATTTCAAATAATAAACACTCACAGTACACTCAAGAGTGAAGTTGTATGCACAGCTTTACAGAACTAAGAGACGGAGCCTGTCTCACATTTTCAGGAAGACTTCCAGATTTTAGCTGCATGTGTTAAAACCAGGACAACATCAGTAGATTCCCAAAAAACAAGAATATCAAGGCAGTTATTTCAGAGTGCACAGGGGTGTGTAAAGGGTGAATATGTAAAGACAGTGGTTTCTTTGTGTCCAGTAATTGAAATCTGTCTTATTATATCTATTCTGTACAAAGTCATGTGCAGTATGTGTAATAAAGTCTATTTTGTGGTTTGGTGCGCAGCTTTGGGATCCTGAGAGTGTCACTGTGTCTCTGTTTCACTGTGTGGAGAGTGTGTCACTGTGTGTGCGTGTGTGTGTTACTGTGTGTGTTTATTACATTCACTCTATAGCTACCAATCTGGTGGCTGATTATAGTTATTCATCAGTCATTGGGTCTCATCGTTTTCTTTTTAATTGCTGACTTTGGTTTGATCGTATGGGAGGTCTTCAGATGCACTGCCTTAAATATGCAGCAGAGGGCGCCCTCGGACACCGGAGTCACCTGGGTTTTAATGCCTTCTGATTTGCCTGCACTTCTGTTTTTGGTGGTGTATCATAAATGTGGCTCCGTGGAGGAACTTTATCCTGTACTGGAACTTGTAGAACATTCTGCATCATGACATCACAATGAACACAGCTGCAGAAACACAAGAGGTAAAATCCTCCAGCTCTGGCCCTGCATCTGTACCACAGCAACCACTGCTCCTGACAGACGCCCTAGTGGCATCAGGATGTCTCAGAGGGTGAATTGCCCTACTACCGGGTAAAATAAAGTGCTCCTTTACAGCTGCAGGAAGTAACACAGCTGCTCCTTCATCCCGAGCTCAGGCCTCAGAAGTGACTTTACAATATGACAGAAGACACACACACACCCTCTCTATGATACGCACACACACCCTCTGACACCCCCCCACACACACATAGCTTCTAAATAGATATAAATGGTTTTCATATATACCAGAACTCCTGCGGTGGAAACGTGGCTATGAATTAGATGGTCAGAAGATGGTA